GTGTCCAGGCTTGTGGATATATACCACGAGAAAGAGACATGTTTTAAAAGATAATCATTAACGGATAACATACAGTACTGGCAGTTGCTTTTAACATATGGTTACTAATACCATCGAGACCAGAGGCTTTACCTAGTTTGAAGAATGTCTCATATTTCTTCAGAATTCGTACGTATAGAGATTATAATCTTGTCAGTCCTGTTCTGAACTTAAGGAATATCTGCTGATGAATCATCAAGACTAGTAATGGAACAAAAAAATCATTTAACATATTTGCTTTCTCCTTGCCATTTGTAAAAAATTCATTTGATACAGGATCTTGAAGGGTTGGAACAGACTGGGATGAGCCTGAACACTTCATAAGTCTTTTAATAGGTCTCCAGTAAAATTTTGGATCTGAAGTTGAAAATTGGTCGATGAGACAATGGACATTTTCATAGAACTCTAGACGAGCATGTTTCTTAATGTTATTACAGTCGAACCTCGTTATCTCGAACTCGTATAACTCGAAGACCCCGTTTATCGGTCCCGGCCAAAACTCTTCTTAATCTTAGTAATAAAAACTCTGATAATTCGAACTCTGAAAATTCAAAAAACTCGGATATCCCGAAGTGAAATATCGGTCCCAACAACGTAAATCCTACATAAAAATGTCGCATAACTCGAATACTCGGATAACTCGAAGTTTCCAACGATCCCGTCGACTTCGAGATAACGAGGTTCGACTGTAACTTTATTGCACTGAGACTTAAATTTGTTAATATCAGAAGGGTTTCCACGGGATCTATATAATTTGTGCAATCTATCCCTAATCCTTATCTGTTTTCTAAGTTCAAATGACATCCAGGGTTTGTCGTTTGGCCAACTGTCACTTCTTTGGAAGGTATAAATTCTGCGGCAAATTCTAAAAAATTCAATGTAAAAAGGTCACAGGCTTCGTCGACAGTATCACAGTTTGCAAAATTATTTTCCCAATCGAAATCTAAAATCTTATTATTAAAGTTACCAAAGTCGGCAGATTTATAAAGCCAGACTTTTCTCGTATACACTGTTTTAATAGCAAAACATATATTGATTGAAGCAATACATGCCTCATGATCACTGATCGAATCATCTACTGTAATAATAACATTACTTTCAACACAAGTCAAAGTTTCAGATATGAAGATGGGGTCCAGGAGACTAGCTCTGGTAGGACAGATACGAGTAGGTTCATTAATTAAACTTATCATTCCGTATGTATTGATGAAGTAGTTAACAAATCCACGTGAAGATCACCCGTGATTATCAAATTGGGAGAAATAACTAGAGCACTGTCTATAGATTCACGTAAATTGTTCCAAAAGGGCTGGACAGAATTTTCGGGCCTATAAATGGTACATAGAATTAAACATTAACCTGGGAAATCAACTTGAGTTCAAAAGACTTCGTCTCCTCTGTATTTAAGGTCACGTAGACGCTTGACTTTTAACATGACATTAAAATAAACAGGAATCCCACCCCCGGTGAAAGTTCTATATCTAAGCGAAATGGTTCGTGGGAATCGTTAATACGTACAAATTCAGAAGCAACATGCTCGTCTAGATGTGTTTCGGTGAGACAAATAATGTCATACTCGCCTGCTCTATCTTCGATGGCCTCAATTTTATTCCTAACACTTCTAACATTCAGATGGAAAAGAGATCATTCATGTGGGCCTTGGTTTGATTCAATGTCCATATGTGATAATAAAAGAAGAATTAAAATAATAATAAATTCAATGTTGAGAAAACTAGAGTTCAGAAACCGGACTACACCTAAAACTGTATTAGAAATTATGTTCCCTGAATACAGTAATTGACTAAAAATGTGACCTAAATGAACACTAAACAAGATAAATTCTGATTCCATCCAACATCTGCCATATACTCTAGTGTAGAGGCCTCCGATGGCCACTCTATACGACATTATATCATTAACCATTATCTATGGGATTTTTTTTATATAATCGAATCGGCAAACCGAAGACTTCCACACTAACAAAAAGTAAAGACCAGCTATAGTGAAAATTTGTTTGACTGAAACACGAAGAAAGAACATTGAAAGAAGAGACTAAAAAGAACATAAAAATCAGAACAGACAATAGCTTTAGAACAAATGTTCCTCTCAGAGCGATCATAAATATCGCAGTAATAGCGTTCGTTTGATCGACTGACGGATTTAAGTATGGCTGTCTCCGTTTGATTAAGCCCTCTACATTTTGGCTTTAAAACCTGTCAAAATGTAAGTTTTCTGAGTTATGTGATAAATAGTATCTTAAATTTGTTTTCATTTCATAGAGCTTTTATGAAACTCGTCTCGACGTTTTAATTTTTGCTCGCCAAGGCTCGCAACAAAAAAACCCTCCTAAGACTCGTTAGATAAAATCTCAAATGAAATGAAAACTTGTTTAAGATCCTACATGTATTGTTGTATATATATATATAGCACACCTTGATTTAATAGATTACTTTTAAACAAAATACGCTGAATACTTCTTTAAAATGCTTATTTACATGTAGCAATTATTGGCTAACGGCTTACATTAGTAAATTACACCAGATCTCATTACAACAAGTAGAATGAAGAGCTACAACCAAAACACGTCCAATAAAGATTTATAAAGCTTCCTTTTATTGCTAGAGTAGTAAGGCGATTTCTAACAACAAATCGAATATTCCTCGACCTAGGGCCAGACAAATACAGGTGAATTGTAATATAGGATAGACTATAGAATGTACTGTATACTGAGTTCCATCTCTATATATATATAGATGGCTATGGCTAAGTATCTTTGAATTGCTGGTTTGAGAATATTTGCTTTTCATGTTGTGTCGTCAAGTAATTTGTCATTACTTCTGAGTGGTGGGTTGTTTTGGCCTTCACTTTTTTTTTTTAGATTTCTTATAAACATATAGTTTTTTGAGACTGTTTTTATTTCTTCTTTTTTTTTCGGTATAGGCCCTATAGGTTGTCCTGGTCTTTTTTTTCGGTATAGGCCCTACAGGTTGTCCTGGTCTTTTTTTCGGTATAGGCCCTATAGGTTGTCCTGGCCTTTTTTTCGGAATAGGCCCTATAGGTTGTCCTGGCCTTTTTTTCGGAATAGGCCCTATAGGTTGTCCTGGCCTTTTTTTCGGAATAGGCCCTATAGGTTGTCCTGGTTTTTTTTTCGGTATAGGCCCTATATGTTGTCCTGGTATTTTTTTTTCGATAAAGGCCCTACAGGTTGTCCTGGTCTCTTTTTCGGTATAGGCCCTATAGGTGGTCCTGGTCTTTTTTTCGGTTTAGGCCCTAGGTTGTCCTGGTCTTTTTTTCGGGATAGGCCCTATAGGTTGTCCTGGTATTTTTTTCGGTATATAGGCCTATAGGTGGTCCTGGTCTTTTTTTCGGTATAGGACCTATGGGTTGTCCTGGTCTTTTTTTCGGTACAGGTCCTATGGGTTGTCCTGGTCTTTTTTTTCGGTTTATAGGCCTATAGGTGGTCCTGGTCTTTTTTTCGGTATAGGGCCTATAGGTTGTTCTGGTCTTTTTTTCGGGATAGGTCCTATAGGTTGTCCTGGTCTTTTTTTCGGGATAGGCCCTATAGGTTGTCCTGGTTTTTTTTTCGGTATAGGCCCTATATGTTGTGCTGGTCTTTTTTCGGTATAGGCCCTACAGGTTGTCCTGCTCTTTTTTCGGTATAGGCCCTATATGTTGTCCTGGTCTTTTTTTGCGGTAGAGGCCCTATATGTTGTACTGGTCTTTTTGCGGTATAGGTCCTATAGGTTGTCCTGGCCTTTTTTTCGGAATAGGCCCTATAGGTTGTCCTGGTTTTTTTTTCGGTATAGGCCCTATACGTTGTCCTGGTCTTTTTTCGGTATAGGTCCTATAGGCTGTCCTGGTCTTTTTTTCGGTATAGGGCCTATGGGTTGTCCTGGTCTTTTTTTTCGGTATATAGGCCTATAGGTTGTCCTGGTCTTTTGTTAGGTCTAGGTGCTATAGGGTGTCCTGGTCTTTTTTTCGGTATAGATCCTATGGGTTGTCCTGGTCTTTTTTTCGGTTTAGGCCCTAGGTTGTCCTGGTCTTTTTTTCGGTACAGGTCCTATGGGTTGTCCTGGTCTTTTTTTTCGGTTTATAGGCCTATAGGTGGTCCTGGTCTTTTTTTCGGTTTAGGCCCTAGGTTGTCCTGGTCTTTTTTTCGGTATAGGCCCTATAGGTTGTCCTGGTCTTTTTTTCGGTATAGGTCCTATGGGTTGTCCTGGTCTTTTTTTCGGTATAGGCCCTATAGGTTGACCTGGTCTTTTTCTGTATTTTTGATTTCATTGATTCAAAATGTCTGGTTTGGAGTTTCTTTGCTTTTTCGTGTGCTTGTGCATTTTTTTCATATTTTCATTCATTTTCTTTGCTAGGATTGGGCTAACCCATGGTAAAAATCTCTAATGTTTAACTAATTTCGTGGTTTTATTTTCAGTGTAATTGCATTTTTTCTTGACGTATCCAATAGTTCGGATAAGACATTGTTTTAAATGTGCCTTTTTATGTCTTGTGTTTGGTGTCCCAAATTTATTTGCTATAAGCCTACCTTGTATTCTTTTCTTTCTTTCAAAATTCTCAGACCAAATGGTATAAATTGATTTATTTTTTTAGTTTTACTTGTTGATTTCGTAAAGATTTGTTTGTCACTTTGATTGGTGCATCTGCTGATGGAAATCACTTTAAATGTGACAGACCGATTTTGGCTGGTTGCCAGATAAAATCTTGAAGTAGACTGCATAGGCTACTTTGATACGAGTTGTTTCCCTTTGATCATTATGAAATATGCAATTTTACCTTGAGGTGGAATGCTATTAGTTCTCTTATTTTCACACTGAAACATATCTCCTATGGTTCTTATTGACTTCAATGATATGTAGTGAGTCGATTTACGTAAACATCCCCGGCATAAAGCCAGATTTTACCAATTTCTTCCGATGTTTTTCCTACTTGTACGCATGCGCATTGAAAGAAGGCAATGGAGAGGCCATGAAAATGGCGGAGCAAAAAAGGCGAAACGGGCTACTTTCAAAGGGCATGAAATTGCCCGTTACGATAGAAGAGGCTCTAAATGATGTACTCGTCGTATCCTTAGAAACTGGAAGCAAAGTTTTCCGTGGTATTTTATTAGATATGAAGAAGAGGTAATGGAATATAGCTTCGAAAATACAACCCGATTTCTGTACTTTTCTTCCGTTTACATCTGTCATTCATCAAGATTTTCCCATGCCACAGAATCGTTTGACACGTAGCATATTTTTCAGTCGAGAAATCTGTTGGTATTTGTGTCGTTATAACCATTGCCACGTGTAACCGACACGACCATCGGTGCATATTTTACAAATCCGATGTTCCAATCCAACCCCCCCCCCCCCTCCATTATAAATTTTTCTGTTCTTTTTATGTGTTCCAAAACGACTGATTCATGCATTCGTGAAAATGAATATATGAGAAAATATTTCGTACAAATGCAAATGATAAAAACGCTGTTCCTCCTATTGATGGTATGATATGCATACATGTTGCTGCTCAGTATTTGAAATATTTGTATTTATTCTGAAAGTTTTCTAGTCTAAATAAAATATTAATTTAGGCTGTGATTTATTATTAAAAACTGGCTATGTCTACATACGAAAATACAGTTGAATTTTACCAGATCCGTGTTTTTATCATGGAGCTAAATTTTATGAAGGACAGTAATCACTCGGGTCACGTCTCCAAGTCATATTATGTACGTTCTGTTTTTATTGGACTTTTGAGTATGCATCAATCCAATATTGTGTATCTGTAGCAGGACGAGGAATAGTGATAAAGATATTGCGTTCGCTGGCATGGGCTCTAACTCATAACCCTTGGCTCTCCAGCCCAATGCTCAGACGGCTGAGACTACCGCTGAGCTATTTAAATTCCCTACAGCTGGCACTAGTAAGGCAGTATACCTAATTATAATCAATGCACATCTTCATATTATGCTTTTTCCATGCATAGTGTAACAGGAGAGGAAAATTGTATGGTCAGACAAGTATTTGAACCTGGGGCCTCTTGAACTCTAGATTGACACTTTAACTATAATGAAACCAAAGTGCACCAGTGTATGGTGATCCTCCCCGGCCCTGAGTTCCTCTACTGAATCCTTCTTCCTTTTCCTGGTCTTTGCCCCCAAAGACAACTTGTTCAGTACCGGTACACTATTTACAACCCAGGTTTGGGTATCCCCATTCCAGGCATTCACCCAGTACTTGAAACGAGGGTTAGTCACAGGCCATTACACATGTAAACGCTAGAAAAAATGCAAAGCCAAACCAGGATTTGAACCTCAGACCTTTGAACTCGATACTACTACTACTAATATTATACAACATTTAACATAGTGCCCTTTCTAGCTAAATTTTAAGTCACTCTAAAGTGCTTTACAGTACACATAGATATACAATTAATACTACATGTATTAGCATATATACATTAATCAATACAATTTGTCCAGTACTGGTACACTATTTACAACCCAGGTTTGGGTATCGATCCCCTTTCCAAGCATTCACAATTCATCTTTAGAGATGCCCTAGCCTGGTTGTCAGCAATATTGGTCCATTCCACTCACTGTTCTGCTACATACAGCAACTAAACCGGGTTTGATAGGTCAGTTAATATTCCGTCTTTGCATATTGCAGAGTTATCTGCTCTTGTGAGCAGGTATTGATTGTTACATCATTTGTTAGTGAGAGTAACGTTAATGTCATCAATTTTTGAGAAAACAAGGTAATTTTCTAACACAGACCAACGACGTAACAATCAATACCTGCTCACAAGAGAAGATAACTCTTCAATACACAAAGAGGTAATAGAGCATTATGGTGAAGAATTCACATGTTCAATCCATGCTTGACTCCATGCAAATCTACAATGTACCTCCACTGCATTTAAATATAATATAAAAAGTGATGGAAAACTGCAACAGATAGAACTCAAAACCTAGGACCTATTCATTCCAAACAACAATAAACAGCTTAGCTACATGTTGTCAAGCCAGCGACACATTTCTTTCAATAACTACTTAGAATCAGATTATTGGCAAAACTTTGCAATGGTATTCTCTATACCACCTTAATCAATGCATGGTACGATTTGTATGCTTGGTCACAAAACAAAACATATCATTAATTTTGAAGTGGCCAGACCAAGTTACATGCAGAAATTCCGTGCGAACTATTATCATAAGTGATCTAAAATGTAAGAATCGTGTAATATTTATGGCATAGCTAGAAGTCTGTTTTGTCAGTGCAGATAATATTCTTCGAATAGCTTAACATCAACAAAATGTTTTTTTGCTGCATATACATTGTCTCACATTATTTATGGCAGGAGATCTAGAAGTGTCAAAATGACACTGATCATCACTTTGTTCATAGCCCTAGGAATGCAATTTCTTTGTGAAGTCTTTATATTAGAACATGCAGTATAAATGGGAATATATGCAAATTAAATTTAAATTTGTGTCTTTCAGAAATTTACCGCATGGTGTCCCATGGCAATTTGACCAAAGTGGATCAAACAACGGTAAAGATGCCCAACATGTCGCTGAAGGTGATACCAGCTCACAACCAGAGTTAGCCGCCACATCAAACAGATACACATACCAAGAAGGGTCTAGTCAAAACAACCGCCAGCCACCTCCACACCCAGTGGCCCTCACACGGGCACTGTACAAGGACAAAAATGTACGGCGGATTCGATTACGCCCTAGACAGACACTGTGCAACAAATGTAAGGCTGTGTGTACAGAAACAGACAAAGGTATTGTACCAGTCACAGCTGTAACAAAACAGCAAAAACCCACACCAGTACACCAACCTTCCCCTACACCAATTACACGCAGGCCGCTCAAGGAAGGGTTGAGGAAGAGAACGGCTACACAAGCTAGTTCACAGCCTGAAACATATCCGTCACGAAGGAAGTCTCTCATTCAAAGCAAACCAGTAGCAGCAAGAATTTCATCAAGAACTGTTTTAACTCGTAGTGAATCACTACCAGTGAGTAGAGTTGTGTTATCGAGAAGAGTTTCACTGACTGAATCTAAGACTGTGTCTGCTCGAAGGGAATCTTCTTCTGAACTTGGGACTATGTTATCAAGTAGAGACTCCCTTCCAGAGAGTAGAATAGTGTTAACTCGTAGGGAATCTCTTACAGACAAAATAGTGTCATCTCGTAAAGACTCCACTTCAGAAAGTAAAGTTGTGACATCTCGAAGGGATTCAAACCCTGAAGCTAAACCTTTACCGTTACGAAAAGATTCTAATGGGGAAACAAAATTATTAACAACAGTTGTAAATGACAATAAAATACAGAAATTAGACAAATCAGCAGCTAATACTAAAGCAAGTCCATTGATAAAGATAACAATTGGAGAAGGGACAGTTATCAAGATCCCTCCCCGTATCCATGGTGATGAGGTAGATGGGGAGGGACAAAGTCCGACGAAGGTGCAGGAGACTGATTCTAATGACCAAACAAGTAGTTCTGAAGAAATGTGGCCATACAAAAAACCAAAAAAAGCATTTAAAAAACCTAAAGACAAAAAGGATTCGGAAAATAATTCCTCTGCAATGCAAATGTCTTACCTTGTATCTAGTCACCACAAAAAACACAAGCGGAAACATCGCCACCGCCATGGGAGCCATAGCAATGATAGTGATGTGTTTCAACCAGAAGGTGATATGTTAGACATGTTCGATGAAAATGGGGAAACACATTCAGAAACAACACAAACTGAAGTTATCTCACAACGTCCCCGACTCCTCTACACATGGAGACAAAACAAAGGCCTCTCACCTAGACGAGATGTCAACAAAGGCTTGTCACCTAGACGTGATATAAACAAAGGGTTATCACCGAGACAGGAGAACACATCATTCAGTAACATTGATAGATCTATGTCGCCTAAAATTCAGTCCAACGAAAGTGTTCAAGTTCAGAAAAAGGAATACCGACTAAGAAGTCGAGAAAGAAATAGCACCGAGTCTGAATCGGTAGATTCCATGATAACGGACGAGTCAGATGACTCATGTGATGATAACGACTTAATAGCTGATGGCTTTACTGTACAGACTGTCCCAGACAGCGAGGATGATCAGAGTGCTAAGTCAGAGGGGTGTTCGGGGACAGAAGAGGAGGAGGGGCCTCCTGGAGACACCAACATAGAGTCTTTACGCCCCCTGATGATGAAAATTCAGACTCACGATGTTACTAAATGTGTGGCAACTGATGGGAGGAGTATTCATGTTGGGGACATTGTATGGGGTAAGATACAGGGCTTCCCCTGGTGGCCAGGACGGGTTCTTTCTATCACCGTTAGTCAGCGTGACAATGGTATTATGATACGCCAGCTGGCTCATGTGTCCTGGTTCGGCTCATCCACAATGTCCCACATACAGTGCTCAGACCTCTACCCATTCCTTGAGGACTTCAAACTCCGGTTTAACCGGAAGAAGCGAGGGCCATACAAGATGGCCATCAAACAGGCCACAATAGCTGCTCAGAGTATCACCAATACACACCATATTGACTTCACAGAGTTTGACTTATGACAGTAAGTTCTGGTGAGTTGAAAATCTAGATTTGGATGCAGCTTTAATATTCATTGAAGAGATTCTTTTTACTAAGGTTTCCCCGGTATTGTAGATTTTACACTACAAGCAGTGTTAGTGCTACATGTGTCATGAATGGAGTCCCTATCAACAGGGTCCTTTCTATAGTTGAATTGATGCAGTCGTTTATCTTTTGATTATATATAAATTATATTTAGAAGATTCCTTGGATGATGTAAAAGATGTGATTTATGTAGATCTAGAGTGATCAGTGCTCTCATTGGGGTAAACCATTCCACTAGCCCAACAACATGAGCTAATAGATTTTATACCAGCGCTTAAGTGAAAATTGTCAATATTTGCTACGAAAATAAAAGCTGAGCTGGTATTATTTGTCTAAACCTGCCAACAGAGTACAAACAACTCTGGAACAAGTAAAATGTGAAATTGAGCACCCCTGCTTCCATCTACAAATATACAGGAGAAATATTTTAATTTACACATAATTCAGTACATGGACTTCATTGTTTGATTAAAATGACAAAATATACAGATGTTGAAATTTTATCTTAAACAAATCTTCTGCAATAAATGATTGTGAAAGATAAAATTTCTTCGTGTAATGGCATTAGGTCAGTAAAAAAAATTCTGTTGAATTTAGATATACAGATTGTATGGACATTAGAGGCAGATGACAGGGAAAAGTGACGAGGTCTGCCCTTTTTCCATGGCTAGATATTGATGATGTAATTGCAGGAGAAAAATTGGGACAGCACTTTTACAGATACAGAAACAATAGCATTGCTTGTTTTTGATACCTGCTTGTTCTTGAATCAAGTACATTTTATAAATTTTCAATCTTTGGTTAAATGTATTGATTGAATACACATTTAGGCATCATTTTGTGTATACCTGTAGAATTGGGGGAAAGTATTTGTATTGACTAACATACTTACAGTGTATTATTTAAGAGTATTTGCTGCACATTATACTTTTAAATAACAGTACCAGCCTTCTTGATTTTCCTATTGTGTATGAAATATTCAAAGTTGTCTAATACCTCATATACTGTACTTGTGAAGTATTCAATAAAACCATTTTACCTGGTTTGTTACATTGATATTAGGCCAGTAAGTTTGACATAGCTCTTATTAAAAACAAGTGCTGTACAGATTTCATGTTAACCAATCCGCTAGTAATATAAATAAGGGATATTGCTACATACTACATGTACTACTTATATAATTATAAAAGGACTCTCTGTTAAATGATTTATGTATTCAAACAATCATATCTATAGTGAATTTTGTCAAGCCTTGTTATGACCATATTAGAATCCTTAATCATGAACCCATTCACCCATAAAGTCACATTTGAACCTTACCAAATCAAAGACTGCAAACCCAGTTAAAATATGTAGGGGTGAATAAGTTTAAGAGATGTGCGAGTGTTCCACCAAGCCGTTTCTTTTACATTTTCACCATCAATATTAATTCATTGTTCTATAAATTTTCTTCTAAATTTGAAATTTTGTTTCCTAAAATGTGGGTATTTTATTTAATATTACTATAAATATTTGATTTTTATTCTAAAAAAATGTCAAAGTATGATTAGTTGTAGTCAGGTGTTCTTTCTTTATGCAAATTTATACAAGGTTAAATTTTAATTTATGTAGCTTGTGGTGACTTGTTTTTATTTTGATTTGGCTTTTTTTGAAGAAAAATAGAATTATATTCATAAATTGAATTAAAACATACTCGATTATCATCATATAGTCAACCTGTGTTACATGCACCATTCATGTAAAATATTGTGCAGTTTCCAGAATGCTCACTACCTTTCTACCAATATTAATATGATAAATATGATTGTAGGGCTTTCATGTGATTGTCTTTGAATTACTTCAGCTTGTACGTGCATGTTTTGTTCACTCAATCTGAGGGTTAGTTCAAATACTTAAAATATTGCTTTCTAGAGTGATTCTCAATATTTCCCTATCATGATATAATAAACATCTTAATGTTGACTAATGTACACATCGAAAGATGTACACAAACGTACCGGATCTGTAAATGTGGTGGTGATAATGAGGTATTGGTAATTTGTTAAATTACCACAGTTTATATGTGATTGCCCATGGGTTTTGATATAAATGCTCTGATGGCTTACATGTTTTTCCTGCAGCTATACATATGCATAAACATTCTTGCATATTGTGTAAAAGTCAGATAGTTACCTTCAAGCTTAGTGACTTACCATAAAACTATTGTTGAAAAGATGTTTCGAGTCATTTGGTATTACATGTAAGTGAATCAGAAATAAAGGAGAGGTCACAACACAAGTACAGCCTTCTATTTACCACCTATAATAGCTTCAGGTTTACAAGAGCTCAAAATAATGAAGATACTAGCCAACCCACTGTTACCATAGTAAAATACATGTTCTTTAATTATTAAATTATTGAAATGCATTCGTCACAAATTGATTATTCAAAGAATATATCAAAGCGTTTGTCCTCATATCTTATGAAAGTTGTTGAAAAGTGCTTTAATTCCTTAATTTCTTAATTTTGTAATGTGCCGGGCTGTTTTACTGAATGTCCATGTATCCTTTCTGCTATCAGGCACGACTACTACTATAATGTCCACATGAACTAACTCCAAATCGACTACCCTTGCTGATGTATGCTCCAGTGACTGCCTTAGCTGTGATGTTGTGATAAGTGATTTGAGATTTAAAAGGGACTTCTATTTGGATTCACTGTACCTGTATAATTATGATATAAATGTTCACAGGTAAATTTTAACATATCTAATTTTGTTGCAGTTCTTATGAGTTTATTGTTATGTTTCATCATTGTATTTCTGTAATTGTTAAACACGATATTTTTTTTGCATAAATGGTTTGTTTGAATATATTTGCACTACACGTAATAAGGGGAGATAATTTATTTTCCTGAATATTTCAATAGTTTCAAAATGTTCCCCTGTATATGTTCAGTATGTTTATCTAGTCTTGTGAAATGTAATTAAACAATTAGTTGTATGAAATCAAGTTATATCAAATTTTTCTTTGTAATTTGTATAATGTTTAACTATTTTTTAGAAGAATTATTTATTGTTTATGGTATCAATTAATGGATAATGTCTTGATATGCTGAATAGTTCCTGATCCTGTGATTCTGTGTTAACAATAATTCATAACTTCTACTTATGTGAAATTCAAACAGACTAGTAATCGTAAAATGCGGACACAGGCCTAGAATTTATATTTGCGTAAAAAATGACCTGCAACTGGAATATATACTGGTAAAACCGAGTGATTTTGGCTGATATAATATTTTTCTGCAGAAAGAGTATTTATTATAGTACACTAGAAATTCATGCATGAGTGTACAAAAGCATAAATAGATGTGCAGTTAATACAGAAATAATTTTGATATACACCTGTAATGTTAGTTACATATATATGTACATGTTTTGTTCCAACAGTAAAATGTTTCAGCTAAGTTGCTGGACCAAATTGATTGAATTGGGAAACTTCATCAATTCCTGACATTGTACATGTACATAAATAATAGTTTTTAAGTAAATTGTGTACTTTATATCTTAATTTCTTGAACTTTGATATATAATTTCATGAATGTTCATAAAACCTCTTGCCATCCGTGTTCAGGCATATTCCACTGAAAATGTCAGTATGACTAGAATCAAGATATACATAAATAGGGCAAATTGATGTTTTGTTTTGATTTGTATTGTAGTTGTTCTGTACATGCATGTACCTTGTTGCCAAAACTTGTGGAATATGAAGCATTCTATTTTTGATCCCATACCTCTGACAAGAGAAATCTCGGTACTAGAATTTTGGTATCTCTTAGTTTGTTGTACGCAATTTTGGTGCCAATCTTTACTTGTACAGTTGTTCTATCATTTACCTGAATGAAAGTTAGTTTATCAAAATAATATCAAGTTTTAATTAAAGTCTAAAATTTATAGGATTTTTAATTTATTTTATAGCAGTAAAAGTGTTTTAGAAGGAAAGGAATTAGGTGTCCTTATGGCTACAAGTAATCTAAATAGAGGCCAAATATAGGGAGAAAAACTAATGTATCATAGTATATATAGATTGGAGGAGGGGGGAATCTAAAATACTTGATCATAAATTTTGATTAATTAGTTACAATATTTCAGGTCAGTCTCTAGGTGAATATGCATATGTTACTATAGAGATTTGTCACAACACATGATCAGTAGAGAGACAAATTAGTGTAATTGAGTCATGATTGATCATTGGCATCATAGCCCTAGTATCGAGAGAAATTACATGTATCTGCAATTAAAACTACTAGTATAATTCAACAAATTTTACTCGCACACAGACGTACATTTGAATCCTCATATAACGTCACAAATCCAATGTCACTTTTACACAATTAAATATTTTGATATTTTTCATGCTCAGATAGATGGAGATCTTTTTGAAAGATATGTGATTTGAACCCACCTTTTCGGGGAGGGGAGTTGGGTATATAGGATCATAAGTCTCATATTGCTGTCCTGGAAACCCTGTTCTTTAGAATTATTCAATGCAATGATCTTTATACTTTTGTTAACCATATTCATTTAAGATCATAATACATATAGCATGGTTTTGTGATAGCCTCATCTGAAATTGGTAAATTGAAATAAAGAGAATCATAAAAAAGTTTACTTATTATGGCTGCAATTTGCATTGGTTTTCAAGTGCAACTCATTATGCCATGATATTTTTCTTAAAGTATTTGAAGTGTTTCATGGTTATAGAAGTATCTGGTTATGTCTGTCTACAGATTTTATATAATACGTACATCATGGTAAAGGATAGTTTCTATAAGGCTATTTTTACCTACGGTTTTCTTTTAGTCAAGTTGTGCTCATGTAGTGCTTGACCAGCTCATTGATTTTTGGCTCAATGTAGTTGTCTAACCCCAACCCAATTCAGATTGCTTTAATTTAGTACCAAATTAAAGCAATCTGAATTGGGTTGGGGAAAGACAATGAAAATATTTTACTTTTTTTTTGTTAAAAAGTATAAATAAGGAAAAATAACCATTACACTATAGCTATAATAAACGATTTGATTGTTCCTTCCTCATCAGGGAAGAAAACTATATATTAACATCCTTAATTTGTAGGTTTCTGATCTCTGGTGAAACTAAGGGGAAAGACGTTTAGTTTAATTTGCTTCATGGTATTTTTGTCTGATCTTATTTTATCATCCCAGTGCTTAGATTTCTTATAAATAGGTACATGTATTTCTAAATCAGTTTATATGAATACATAAGTTGATTTGTCTTACATATCTAGTTATGAAGTATTGTTTGAAAGAAAAGTTCTTTTCAGTTGAATTTGAATGAAATAATGAGTTAGCATTTTGACAGAATTATTTGACAGATATGTAATGATTGAATCGTATGACATATTGGAAGTTAAAATAGATATTTTTTTTGCTTAAATTCAGTATAATAATTAAGAATTCTGCCCTAACTTGGTAGATGTGTGGAGAGATAGTGAAAGCTGTGATACAGTGCGACAGACGGCCAGATAGTTTGACTATATTGTTATTACATTTCTGATGTCATTTAACTGTGCTTATATTAATATAAAATTGATGCGTATACATGAATGTATAAGAAATGTATATATAAGTTGAAATTAAAAACAGCCTAAAGGCAGATTTTACATTGCTCACGTTTCTTTTCCTTTTCTCTTTCATAAATCCTGTCGTGCTCTAGCGTCACAATGCAAGGGGCTGATTAGAGGAATGTGTTCCCATTTCATGCATTAAAATATTACGGAATATATAAAGGTTCTGTCGCTCAACGTGGATGCTCGGAATTGCTAAGTAAGAAAAATAACGAATGTTTTGCATGTCTGTGTGTGCTGCCATCAATGGTCAGTTTTTTGTGTACAAAACTGCTACTTCAAAACAGTTGGCTGGGTTTTAACCAGAAAGAAACGTAGCAACGGTAATCATTTGGTACGAATGACAGCATTCTGGAAAAGGGGAGTGATAAATTTAAACTGCGTTCAATGGGAGACCTGCTGTAGTGATACAAATCTAAATTTTGGTATGAAGAATGCCTTCGGCAAGTGGAGACCATTTTGATATGAGTGAAGGACATGACCCATTTCACTAGGGTACATTGAAGTAAACATTTACAATTGGTGCAGAAAGACTGATATCAACAAATTTGGTACAGAGCATTGTCGAACCACCATAACACAATCCATTAAATGTATAAAATTGTCTTGCATCGATATAGCCATGCATGTACACTGTGTTATCCTGCCTAAGCTGGTTTTGTATGGAACATCTATATCTGATAACATACAAATGGTATAACAACACGAGATCTTCAGTTATCCATGGATGGAATCGGCATTTCATGGTTTGTAAGTTCCAAATAAGTAAATATTGAATTATACAGGTCAGAAGATTCGCTCACATTGACATCTAATGAGATCAAATTAAGATTTGAAAGTAGGCTGTATTTGTAGTAATTGCTGTTCCAAGGCATCCTCTGGGAACCAGGTTTACTAAGCAGAACATGTGTGTTATTTAAAATGTGAGAAGTGGATTTTCTGTAACAAGTCATTTTACCCTGCCACCTAACATAGCTATACAATATATTTACCGTGCCACTTAACATATCTATACAATATATTTGCAAATGGGTGTCATTATTTATACATACAGTATGCAAATGGTAATGAAACGGAAATTAGTTCTTTGTTATTACAACTATTTAACTCTCTTTTAAAACTAAGAAGAAACAACATACAAATAAAAGGTTTGAATTATAACGGCGGACATTACAGAAGTCCCCAGCACGACCCCTGCAGAAGAATTTGATGTCCATTCATTTGGTGTTGTAATTGTCCTTCTTATTTCACTAACATATAATATATATCAAACTACAGAGTGCACAACCAATGCCATATAAAACATTGGAGGTTTTGCAATTAAAGCTTTTGATACAGTATCACTGTTATAATTAGTGAGTGAGCTAATGTAACTTCTTTCGTTAATACATGTAGTTTTACTTTTCAAATTTACAATTCTACACATTTGAACTGATGTGTCTTGATACAAACGAGTTGAGAGTATTTATGATAAATATGAACTAGCTGGGCTTTGGACAATGTCCTTGATGACATCCAAATAACATCCACGTATGGCTCAAAATTGAAACATTTAACAATTACTTTCAAAGAAGCCAGAGAAGATCAATGTGAAGGCCGAAGAACGGCCCTCACAAGAAGCCCAGAAGGCCTATATTGCTCACTTGGATATCGAAAGCAATCCTGCAAACCAACTGGGTTTTTAAAAGTAACATTATCTTTTGAGTCAAAAATCAACTAGCTAATCGAACACTATATGTGCACAATTTGACAAAAAGAAAGCTGTAGATGAAGATTTTTTTTTGTCACATGTTAACCTCTTTGGCCAAATATCTTCATACTGGGCTTCCTGGTTATTTAGAGGAATTTGTTTAAATGTATACATGAAGCAGTAATTACAGTAATTTGACCCTTATGAACTTCAAAGTGGGTCAAGGTTATTTATTTGAAGAGATTTTACAACACTCCATCCAAGTTTGCTGCTGACCAAATATCATTTTCCCAGGACTTTTGTATATTTGAACCCTGTGAACACAGGTAAATGTCATTTATTTGAGGACATTTATAGCATCCCATCCTAAAAGACCCCTGTGACCTTAAATGTCATTCAATGTCATTTAAGTGAGGACATTTTATAACACTTTTATAGCAAAATATCATTACCCTAGGCTGTTCACAGCTATTCAAAAGAAGTAGTTGGAACATGTTTGACCCCTGTGACCTTGGTCAAGGTAATTAATTTCAGGAAACTTTGAAGCACTCTAACCAAGCATGACTCGATCTACTTAAATGGCATGATCCTAGGACGTTTGATTATTAAAAAGTAGTTTAAACGTTTTTCACATATTGGACCCATGTGGCCTTAAACGTAAGTCATGGTAATTTATTTCAGGAAACTTTGTACCACTTACTCAATCAGAATACTGGCCAAATATCATCAACCTAGCTAGGCCATTTGGTTGTTCAAAAGAGTTGTTTGAAGGTTTAATATATTTGACTTATGTGACTTTGATAGACCTTATAGCCATATATTATTATTTTGGACCTCTTGGTTATTGGACAGTTGTTTAAATAATTTTACGATTCTGACCCCTGTTACTTTGAAAGTAGGTCAAGGTGACTTATTTGAGGAATATTTATAGCACTCAATCCCTATAACCTAATGGGCAAATAACATCACCTTGCTTGGGGGGTTCTTTGGTAATTCAGGTGTTTTTTAAGGGTTTTTACATATTTGAATCCTGTGACCTTGAAAGTAGGCCAATGTCATGTGATTTTACCCCTGTGACCTTGAAAATAGGTCAAGGTGATTTATTTAAAGAAAATGTATAGCACTCCATCCCTAGGCCTATTGCCTACTGAAAAAATATCTTCACCATGGGCCTTTTGGGTGTTAAGTCATTTATAGGGTTTGACATATCTGACTTCTGTGACCTTGAAGTAGGTCAGGGTCACAAGCTTTTTATATTAAAATGTGTGATCTTTGACCCTTAAGCTTTGACTGATGACAACCAAAATCTAATCAGGTGTAGAACTTGATATTGCCATACTATGGTGTATATATGAACTAAATGTATTCAGTGGTTCACGAGATACTATGTAGGCAAGCTTTTTACTATGGATGGACACATGCACCAATACATACACCGACGGACACACAGACAAGGCGGCTTCTACTGGTTAATACAATGTAGGGAAGGGTTATAACAACAAATGAAAATGTAACAATTGAATTTGTCACAAAATTACCTGAGTTTTAACATGCTCATCTCATGCCCTAATCTAGATTTTTTTATATAATACAAACTACATTTTTTTCAATTTATTGAGTTTATTGGTAATATACATTTTCTTCAGAATTACTTGCATTTTTTATCTGCCACATTCACACATTATAAAACATACAGAAAAGTAGCATTCATTTTAAACATCATCACTTTTATGTTTAATATTTGATTAACTAAAAGCCAAAATTGTGCCAGCTGAACATAATCTTTTACACTGCATTATATCCAATTTTTTTCTCATCAAACAATTAATCTGAAATAAATAGGGAATTCAAAATCAAGTTTCCTTTACAACACGGGTTTGGCTTGCTACATGTCCTATCTCGATCTGCCGTCCTTCCCAACAGTGCATGTCAAAACGTTCTTTGCTGGTCTCTCCAACATTGGCTGATCTCACCAACCTTACTTATCATGATCTTCTGTATCTCTGCTAACCTTACCAACTTCTGCTGGTTTCACCAATTTTTGCTAATCTCACCACAATGATAAGGACTCATCAATGTCTGCTTGTCTCACAAATTACTCTTGGTCTCAAACTGAAGATACACTGCCAGCACGCAACAATTACTCTTATCCTTTCTGTGGATAATTGCATTTACTAATAAAAAAAAATCATTAGCGATGAGAATGACGTAATATACAGGGTAGGTCAAGTACTTAACATGATTATCACAATTTCAATATAACTTAACTTTAATAGCTTACACACACATACATTTTCCAGTCTGGGTTGGTGTCTGGAACATTTGAAGACAGAAACTAAAAAAATGTGCTACATTTCCTAACCCCCATAGTGTTATTCTTTGCTTGCATTCTGTGCGAAGTTCACAGAATATCCACCAGTGTTCGGGTCCTGGTTGAGCTTGAAATTTTCCGTGGACAAGCCAAAGGGTTTAAGGATCATGTTTCCGAGGTCCTTTAGTTTACCTGTAAGTGAGAACACAAATTGGGTACACTGTGGTACTGTTACTGAAGTCACTGGTATACGTGCCTCCACTAGGAATCAGACTGTCAACTACAGATAACAAGTTTAGTCCGGTGCTGTAACAATAGAATGATTGTAACGAGGGAATTCAGTCATGACCGGTAACAAGAGACTAGACTGAACATTCTATCATACACAATACTGAGCTGTGTATATGGGTGTAAATATAACCAAGGTGTCAATGTATATGAGGAGTCAAACCCAAGACATCATATTACTAGTCCATAACCCTTCTGACTTTACCTTTTAGAGAGAATTTCCCCCTAGCCAATCACCGTTTTAATTAGGCAAGCATACAAATTGTGACTTTTTTATATATGATGTCATTGACCTTTATAAATATCTTTTTTACAAGAGATAATTTGCATATTTTATTTCAAACAGTTACAGACACACTGATCGAGTTACCAATTTTAGTACTTACCCAACATTTCTTCTTTCATTTTCTCATTTCTTTCCTTTATTTGATCTGGTAGCCTCTGATAAATAAAACAAAATTACAACATAATTTTCAATTTGAATATCTACTTGCATTTCTCAGACAAGGAAATAATTCAACTTGAAATAAAAACATCAAGCAAACAAAAACTGACTTTGTTGATTCCTGATTTCCAGCTAGAGAATTACATTAGTTGGGAATAAATGACAGTCATATAAAACTACTTTCAAATGTTCCATGATTTGCCAATGTTAAAATTAAATTGAAGTTTCTAATTGTTTGTGGTCTCTGAAGTATTAATATGAAAGTTGTTTTATGGAAACAAATATTTGAGTTCTGAAATTCCTGTGGGGCTACTTAAATTGAGCCCATGATATTTTTTAAAATGATGTTCATGACTTGCCTGAATGCTTATAAAATCATATACTTTCTAAGCAACTACACATTGTCCTTTAGTATGCTTTTTACAAAAGTGATAGAAAGAATGAACTCTTAATAATCAGAGATTATACTTTATTCACTAAACAGGTGGTACTAGATCTAGAGCCTTTAGTGTGGTACAGCCTATATTGTCATGACAGAAAGGGTGGTAACAGTGGTATATTACAATACAGGTTACAGTGGTATCTTATACTACAGGTTTTACTGTAATTGATAAGAGAGATGGTCTTGTAATACAAGGTATACATGTATTGACAGGAAAGGTGGTACCTGTATCTTTATACAAAGTGCATAGTGGCCAAAGGGGTTGTCTTGGTATAGAGGTTAGACTATAGCAAAAGATAGCTTGTATGGTTAGACTAGGGACATAACATATGGGTGTGGATTACATGTTATACAGTAGTGACAGTAGTCGTTGTTATTAGGTTATTCTACATGGACAACAGTTATCAACAATTACGGGGCAATATTGGGTCTTTGTTCCAAAACAGCTCAAAGAAAGTCCTGTCCCTCCACACAGCTTTTACAGCATTCACAGAACCGCAAGTAGTGGAGAAAAAAATAACTGCTTATCGTGTCTCTCTATTGATTTGGTCCACTTACCATACAGGCGGCTCTAGCGGAGTGTTGACTAGGGTCGAGTTCCAGAACTTTCTGGTAGTCAACAAGAGCCTCATCTAGTTTATCTTCACCTTCGTACAGTTCAGCCCGCCTCAACAGGGCCTTCAGGTAGTGTGGGTGGAGATTTAGGGCATGCGTGCAATCCTTTATAGCATCCTCCTTGTGGTCCTTATAATAAAAATACCCAGGGTAAATTTGCATTTTGTCACAGATATCGCTTACTAATATAGAAAACATTTTCCTGGGATCATGGTTAAAATATTAAATGCAATTTGTCAACAAATATTGAGGCAGTCATTTACCAATATATGTCTCGTTATATAATTAAGTATGGAAGGCAACAGCATAGTTATCCTACTAACATGCATGAAACAAAGTCAGAACACTTAGTTTAAACATATTTTATTGATCAAAGATACAAAGGGATTGGACGATAAGTTATTTCAAGTCTGAACACTACAATGGGTACACAAGAAGTCATGCCAAGTTTTCTGCCATGATTAATTAATTCTGATGAATAAATTTCAAGAAAGCATGTCTTACCAGTTTAAGTTTACAGACAGCTCTGTTGGAAAACATGATAGCTCTGTCTTTTGGAAAGCTTAGCGGACATATATGCAGGGCTCTGGTGTAACATCGTATTGCTTCCTTGAAACTTTGATCCTTAAACAATTTGTTTCCTTCCTCTTTACAGCAACGTGCTTCATTCCTTTTTTCCTGTTGAAATAGTGAAAATAATTTAACTTTAGATAATCTTATTAGCAGTGATGGGTTGTTATATATATATCAAACTACACAACATACAATCAGTGGATAATTTACCATGGCTGACAGTGGCTGTACATTGAAATACAGGAGTATGCACATATAAACTTAATGGCAAATTTGAATCTGTTCAAACTAGAACTGTAAGACAAAGGTTAACTAACACCCCCGCTCCTATAACTGGAAGCTAATTAAGGCTTACTAAGGCAAAGCATTGCAAAGTAATCCATATAGTCTCCCACCAGTAATGATTTCTTAATTGACGGAGCTATACACTTATTTAATCATACAGGTCACTGACATACTTCCTGTACTCCCTCCCAATGCCAAAATGTAGTAGTGTATATTGTATATTGTGAACTTCCGGTATTTTATTTTGTACTTCCGGTATTTTCTTTGTATTTCCGGTAAATATTGTGAACGTCCGGTAAACCATGGTACTTCCGGTATAACTTTAACTTCCGGTCGAATGTAACTTTCTGTATTTTCGTACTTCCGGTACGCTGTCAACTTCCGGTGACATTTTTGAAAAAAATCCAGTATTATTTAATATCTGTTATCAGCAAACATTTATATTTGTATTGAGTTATTGTAGTAGAAAGTAATTGAATTATTTAATTGTATTTTTCAGTTATTCATTTTTTTTGTTCGCTTCAATATATTTCTAGTTTGAATTGAATTTTGATTTCACTCAAGATTTATTGAAATGCTTTGATTGAATTTATTTTTTCCTCTCTTCAACTTTGATTATCTTGATTGTTTTCATATTGAGCTTTCATTTTTGATTTTGTTTAGTACAAATTGACGTTTCTTGGATTTTTCAAAATGTTTTTGTGAAAACAAATTGTGTATTTTTTTTGTTTGTTCTCGTGTCTTTAAATTAATTTATACGTGGTTGTCGGAAATATACTTTGCTTCAGAGGAGTCACTTGTTATTAATTTGACTTCGTGGTTTTATTTTGGAATTTATTTCTTTTGAAATTGGCTGGGTTTTTTTACTTAATTTTGGCTTAAGTTGTCTTATAGTGTTAAATTTCTGTTGTCATTGATAATTGATAAATTTACTTAGATTTTTGTTTTCATTTTTTCTTCTGTTTCGAAAGTTAACATGTAGGATTACTTAAGTAATTTTTTTTTCAAGTGGAATAGTTATTTTGTGGGTACATGCTTGGTCGCAGTTGATGTTGTTCTTTGTTACACGTGCTATGTGGATCTTTCTGTATTTATGTTGAATGGATGATGGTGCGTTAGATGCTATTTATCGCTAATCGGATTGATTTTTTCGTTGACTTATTCGCGTGTATTTTGGCTGAACGCGACCGAATATCATTCTTCTTAGGATTTACATAGTTCTATTTCAGGTAAGTCATTTAATTCATTGACGGTAGATGTGGCAGAGTTGGCTGGTTTTATTTGATTTATAAGTGTGTATATCTATGAGAACGAGAGTAAAATACTTGTTCTGTGTTTGGTGAGAACACATAGATGAACTTTGTTGGTTTGCTTGAATATTTTATTTGTGTTTTGTTGTGTTTATTGTGATACAGGTTTCGCGATGGCCGATTCTGAAGAAAAACTATCGCAGGCGGAAGCGATACTTCCACAAGAGGAAGCGGACTCTGTAGAGCATGTGTCTAAGTTGTTTTCTCAAATGGGTGCTAGACCTAAAGGTGATAGTTTAGTTAAGTTAAGGAGTCAGATGATGGATTTCCTTAATTCAACAGGAGGATTGGACACTGCTAATCCGTCGATGGCTGGACAAGGGGTAAGTGGAAATGTTGTTTCTCAGGGTATTGGTTCTACCACAGGCACTCTGGACACGAGATTCTACAAGTTACCGTTATTTTCTGGAGATCAAGGAAAGGGTGAGGCTACTTTCGATTTATGGAAATACGAAGTGCAATGTCTGATTGACACAGGTAAGTCACAGGATGTCATTGGGCAGTCTATCCGAAGATCTCTGAAGGGAACTGCAGCCAGAGTAGCCATGCGGTTAGGAGCTAATGCGACACCCGCACAGTTGATCGCCAAACTTAGAAGTCTGTATGGTATAGTAGATGACCAGGAGACTCTGTTGGAGAATTTCTATGCCGCACATCAGCAACCCAAGGAAAATGTGACTGAGTGGGCTTGTAGACTGGAAGACTTGTTGCTTAGAGCCGATTCTGGTATAGGACCTGCGGAACGCAATAAGCGGTTGCACAACAAGTTTTGGTCTGGTCTGAGGCAAGACTTAAGAGATGTTACTGGCCACAAGCATGACTCCATTGCTGATTATGAAGAACTATGCATAGCAGTAAGATCTATAGAAAGGACAAGAGACAACGAGAAACCATCGAAGGCGACTGTTACTGTCAACTCAGCTGTTGAAGGGGAGGAGAAGGAGGATTTGAGGTCTGTGGTCAACCAATTGTCTGCTGCTATTCAGAGGTTAGAGAAGCAGATATCCGATGGTGGGACAACCTCGTGGAAGAACAACAGAGATCACAGGAACAGGAATAGAGGAAACTCTAACAACTACGGAGGAGGGTCTGTTTACCACTCTAAGCCGTCGCAAGAGAAGACTGACCAGGATGACGCGTCTTGGGACAGGAAACCTGATATTATATGCTGGAGGTGCAGACAGCCGGGACATATCAGAGCGCGATGCAGGGTAAATATGGATCACTCGCGCAGTTCGGTAAAAGGGAAGGAGTCTATGAAGACGGACCACTCATAGATTTCCGAATTCAAGGTCCGAACAAGAGTACTAAGGCTACTAGGACAGGAACACAAATGGTTGGCAATGCTAATGAAGTTGATGTCAACGTAGAAGGTAAGGGGACCAGGGCGTTACTTGATACAGGTGCGACCGTGTCTACGGTTAGCCAACATTTTTATGAATGTCATCTGAGTCATTTGGACCTGCAGCCACTGGATGAAATTCTTTCTATAGAATGTGCTGATGGTCAACAGTTACCTTACTCCGGATTTATCGAAGCGGGAGTCAGTTTTGAAGGACTATTTGGAAGAGATGAGCAGAGGTGTCTTTTGCTGGTAGTCCCCAACAGCAACTATAACTCCAAGGTACCAGTGTTGTTTGGAACCAACGTTCTGTCGGTATTGTTGGAAGGGTGTCGAAGCAGGAATGGACCGAAGTTCTTGCAGAAGGGATTGGATACTCCATGGTTTTTAGCATTTCGCTGTATGACATTGAGGGATCGGGATTTGGTGAGAAATCGCAACAGCATTGGCCTCGTCAAGAATGCAGGAAACATGGATTGCGTCCTTAGACCGAACTCTACTATCACCCTGAAGGGATATGTAGACCAGCGGAGCGCCTATCCAACTACCTGTGCTATCATGCAGCCCACGGAACGATCCAAGCTGTCCAAAGATATTGATGTTACACCTACAGTGTTTTCATATGACTGCGACAGTACACATCCATTGGACGTTCAACTATCCAATCTGACAACACATACGTTTATCATTCCTCCCAAGGCAATTTTATGTGAGATACAGCCAGTGATTGTCCAGGAACTTCCTACTGTTGATGGAGAGGTGGGAATACCGAAGTCATTTATGGATAAGATAGACTTTACCAATTCAGCTGTTACGGAGGAGGAACTACAGCTAGGAACGAAACTCATAAAGGGATACGAGGATATATTTTCACACGGAGATACTGACCTCGGGTGTACTAATCTCGTGAAACATCGAATCGATTTGACGGATCCAGTTGCTTTTAAACAACGCCATAGGAGGATACCACCTTCTATGTATGACGAAGTGAAGACTCATCTTCAGCAACTTTTGTCTGCGGGAGTCATCAAACCATCATACAGTCCCTGGTCATCGAACATTGTTCTGGTGAGGAAGAAAGATGGATCATTGAGGATGTGTGTGGATTTCCGACAGCTAAATCAACGCACCATTCGGGATGCATACGCGTTACCACGAGTAGAGGACATCCTGGATTGTTTAGCTGGATCACACTACTTTACTGTGCTGGATTTAAAGTCGGGTTATCATCAGGTTGAGCTAGAGGAAGAACATAAGGAGCGAACTGCATTTACCGTCGGCCCACTGGGGTTTTATGAGTTCACGAGGATGCCTTTTGGACTTACGAACGCTCCTGCGACATTTCAGCGCCTGATGGAGAGATGCATGGGAGACCTACACTTAGCTATCTGCCTGATATATCTTGATGATTTAATCATCTTTTCGCGAACGTATGAGGAGCATCTGGAACGACTAGGAAAGGTTTTTCAGAGACTCAGAGACAACGGTTTGAAGCTTGCGCCTAAGAAATGCCAGTTCTTTATGAACAGAGTTGCCTATGTTGGACACATCGTCACACCGGAAGGCATTGAGGCAGATCCCAAGAAGATTGAGAAGGTACGAGACTGGCCGACACCGTCTAATCCTGAAGAACTACGTCAATTCCTAGGTTTTGCTGGTTACTACAGGAAGTTTGTAAAGGATTTTTCAAAGATTGCGAGACCTTTAACTGACCTGTTACCACCGACCAGAGTAAAGAAGAACAAAGGAAGGGCAAAGACTAAGATAAATGGCGTTAAGTGGACATGGGCATCGGAGCATGATACAGCGTTCAACGGCCTGAAGGAAGCGTTATGCAATCCTCCTGTGCTTGGATATGCTAACTACAGTCAGCCGTTTGAGCTTCACACCGATGCAAGTACCTTAGGACTAGGAGCCGTTCTATATCAAGAGCAAGATGGACAGTTACGACCTATTTGCTACGCCAGTCGAGGATTGAGCAAGTCGGAGAGGAATTACCCGGCTCATAAACTGGAATTCCTGGCGTTAAAATGGGCAGTTACCGAAAAGTTCCATGACCATCTATATGGACAGACGTTCACCGTTTTAACGGACAACAACCCGCTGACCTACGTTTTGTCGAAAGCAAAGCTTGACGCGACGGGGCATAGGTGGTTGTCCGCTCTAGCGGCATACAACTTCGATATTAAGTATCGACCAGGACGGAACAACGCGGACGCAGACGCTTTGTCACGGCTTCCGGGATGTAACATATCATCAGAATCTGTCCAAGCCGTCTGTAAAGGAGCAACGTTTTGTAAAGGTTCATTGGTGGAAAGCTTGAGCCTATCAACAGAGGTATTGGATATGCTTGACGTTGATGACGAACATGGTTTCCAAACCATGACACCCCACCAGTGGCGAACTCTTCAGACGGAGGACGATGTTATAGGGGAATGGCTACCCATCATTAGGAGGAATCTGAAGCCAACACGGAAGAGGTTTTCAGCTATACCAGAAAACGCAACCCTTAACAGATGCTGGGATAGCTGGAAACTGAAACGTGGTGTGCTATATAGACGGGTATCTGATGGTGAGACCGATGTGGACCAACTTGTACTTCCGGTTGCCATGCGAGAGAAGGTCCTGACGTCATTACACAATGACATTGGCCATCCTGGAAGGGATAGGACGTTATCTCTGCTGAGAGATAGATTCTTTTGGCCTGGTATGACCAAAGATGTGGAAACGTGGTTGAAGGAATGCCAGAGATGTCTACTCAGGAAATCGTCGACTAGCATTAGGGCTCCGTTAGTCAACATTGTTACCACCCAACCTATGGAGTTGGTATGCATGGACTTCTTGAAACTAGAGGCGTCTAAAGGGGGGTTTCAAGATGTTTTAGTAATCACCGACCATTTTACGAGGTATGCCAAAGCCATTCCAACTCGGAGTCAGTCGGCTAAAGCAACAGCGGAGGCTTTGCAGGGATTTATTGAACATTACGGAATTCCGCGGAGATTACATTCCGACCAAGGAGCTAACTTCGAGGGGAAAGTAATAGAAAGTTTGTGCGAAACATTTCATATTACTAAATCGAGAACGACACCATACCATCCTAGCGGAAATGGAATGTGCGAACGTTTCAACAGAACCCTGATCGACATGTTAGGCACATTGGAACCGCATCAAAAGAAAGACTGGAAGAGCTTTGTGGGTTCGCTCACATATGCGTACAACTGTACACGGCATAAGACAACGGGTTATTCGCCATTTCAGCTGATGTTTGGACGACAGCCACGATTGCCCGTTGATCTATTGTGTGGAGTAAACGAGGAAATTACCCCAACTAGCATGCCGGATTATGTCAAAAACATGAGGAACCGGATGTCACATTCGTTCAGCTTAGCGAGTAAGAAGGCTCGGGAATCGCAGAGTCGTCAGAAGGCAGGCTACGATCTACGTAGTAGAGAAGCCGTTTTGGAACCGGGTGACCGCGTTCTTGTTAAGGTACTTGCCTTTGAGGGACGTCACAAGCTAGCGGATCGCTGGGAGCCTGACGTATACATCGTACAGAGTCAACCCAACATTGACATTCCGGTATACACCATACTTCGAGAGAGTGGTGAAGGAAAGAGTAGAACTCTTCACAGAAACCATCTACTTCCAATTGGAACTATACCGGTGGAAGTGGATACGGTACCCATTGCACATCCACCTCGGCCGGTACCTCGTGTTAGGAGGTCGAGGATGGATAGTGGTCCGCATCATCGGAAGTCTGTGGCTGAGCCTGTTGTATCACCGCCTGTAAGTGACAGCAACGAGAGCTCGGATGAGGAATTTGTGGGTATGAACGTTCCTACTAACGTTCAACGGCCTCCCACACAGGACAAGGTGCAGCCGAGCAAGGACATGACACCCGTACCTGGACCTCAGATCGACTTCAGTGATGAGGAGACATCGGAATCGGAACCGGAGGATGAACCTGCAGCTGCAGTACAGGGGAATACTACTTCGCCTGATCCGGAGATTCCAATACCCCGACGATCGACAAGGAACAAACGACCGCCTAATTGGATGACATCAGGCGAGTTTGTTTGTTCACAACAACCTGCTGGAGCGGAATGGAAGATGAAAGCCATGTTTCTGATGGACATAACATCTACAGCATCCTTCGGAGATATGCCAGCATCAGCCCAACAGGCATTGTTAAATATTTTAACTGGTTGAGTATGTGTGCCATTTTACGTAACGTTATTTGAACGTTAATATGCATTTGTATATGTAGTATGTATGTGTAAATGGAAACCCCATGGAAGATGAGGACATCTTTCATTTAAGCGGGGGAATACCTGATGAATTGGGGAGTTAATATATATTTTTTTGTTTTTTCCTCAGTTGCAGATTTTATATTTGAATTGTGTGTAAATATTTTGCATGGACTTTTGTTATATTGTTTTATGTTTTATTTACATTATTTCCTGATCATGTAGATGAGGACATCTTCCATCTAAGGAGGGGATAATGTAGTAGTGTCATTATTTGTCATTATTACTTTTAATATATTTGTGGTATTTAGCTATACGCGTTCGTATGTAACGGAAATCAGCCTTCCGTGTAATTTTGTACGTCACGCATTGCGGCAAAACTTTTAGCGCGCGCGCGGAAATAGCACGCGTAAATGCGAGTAAGGTACTGAGCGGATGTGATGTAATGTGTTGTAAACCTGTTTGTCCAGTACGTATTGTCTATGTATAGAATACCTAGTATTGAATGTAGGGTAATTTACCTGGTGCACTGGTCACTTTGAACAGAGCGGCCAGAGCGAGCACAGCGAACATTTGTACACCTATATCTTTACCTAGCCAGCATAGGAATTAAAAGAGGTAGCGGGCACTAGAGCCAAAAGCAAATAATGTAAGTACTCGCGTATAAATATAAGTTTAATTCATTATAGTATCTATTCAATAATATATTTAATTAACGTAATATTTTTGTTAAAAGTAAAGTTAATATTTTGAAAGTCTTTGTAAATTTAGAAATCGGGCGTGGTCAATTTAGTAGACAAGTGATTTCGAAGAAGCAAGTTTTTAATATATATTGTTTCCTTTTATAGCTTACATTGAACGAGTAAGACTGAGGACTCGGCGGACTTTGTCCGAGAAAACCCTCTTCACATTGAAGAGGTGGGTATTTTAATATATTTGTAATTATGCTGTATTTCTATATAATATATAGATTGAATGTAACAGTTGTAATACGTATTCCATTATTGTAACTTATGTAACTCACTAGGCTACGGCCAGGTAGTTGTTTGACATGTCTTAGCTTATGTGATTGTATAAATGTTATATGTGTAGTAATATGATGTATTTCATGTTACAGGGTTTTTACTTACGTAATAAATTAACTGAGAAAAGAACCCAGGAGTTGTCGTATATCCACGATAAAAGACGACTATTACAAAAACATACTTACATACCAAATCTTGTTAGCCCAGATCAGGGATGTGTAGTGGACCACTACACATCCCTGCCCAGATGCATCAGTTTTGCTGAAATTGTCCGACTACTACTAGTAAAGGAAGAGATGTCAGGACAAAGATTTTTAATAAAGGGCAATAACTCCTTAAAAAGGGTAGAAATGAAAAAATACTAGCCTGATGCACGACATCAGGGGGTAATTACCATATCTGTAGTTTATGAGACAGACAAAGATTTATTCAGCGAAGGGCCATAACTCCTTTTAAAAGGGTCCGAATGAAAAAGTATTACTTGGATGCACAACGTCGGGGGATGTATGCGATTCCAAGTTCAATTACCTCCTTTTCTTCTTCCGTCATTTTTTCTTCTAATTGTTTTAATTCATCTTCATTCGCCTCGCCTTCTTCCGCTGATTCATAGTTGTCATCTTCTTCTGTTTCACTGTCAGAATCTTCATTTTCAAGAAGCTCCTCCAAGTTCACTCCTGCATTGGATTTGTTACCTTTGTCTTTAGAAAGTTCTTCGCAAAAGTCAAACTCGTTCACATCCGCACAGTTTGGTTCATCTGTTTCTTTCTTCACTTGTGAGTCTGACGTTTGACTAGTCACATCAAAAGATCCATTCGTGTTGATATCAGAGAAGTTAGCAGTTATGTCATCCATATCACTGCTATCTGTTACCTGGATTCCACGTTTTTCTATATCGTCATTGTCTTCCACCTGTACACATTTTCTATCCGTTCGGGAATGTCGCAGATCTACGTACCTTCCCTCTGTTTCCTTCTCACCTGTATTTTGCGGTGTCGCGATATTCGGCATATTATAACCATCTGTTTCTTGAATTCCAGAACACATAACCGTATCGAAAGAATCGTGAAACTGTTCCTCCGTTTTGACGCCAGAAAAAGATGATTCATCACTGACATCAGACTCCCTTTCCACTTGTCGCACCACTGTGCCGACTTCCTCGACTGGGTTCGACATTTTCACACACTGAATGTTCGTTATCAATATGTTATTTCAACAGCATGCTATGCAAACCAATTAAATTACCGTTGTATATTCATCAATCAAACAACACTGCCAATATTTCTGACGTGAATTTCATGTTTCGTTTGCGCAATCTCGGTGTCAAATCATATCTTAACTGTAAAACCATTATCCTACCTCGCTTACAAAACATTTCGCTGACTACGATCAAATATACTCAAACTAAAATTAAGTAAGCGCACGGAGACAACTTTCCGGCTTTGTTAATTCCGGCTGAAATATTTTCTTAAAAGAATAAACGCGTCCTTATATTTGTGTGCGTTATTATGTTATTTTGATAAAAAAATATTATCATCATTTGCTTTGTAACATTGAGTTTTAATCTGGCATATTTCTATTAACTCTTTCATGATATATGAAAAAATTTACATCGATCTGAAGTAGTTTATTTTATTAGTATTTGCATACCGGTTTCGTATGGCTGGGACTTTGTGCAGCATCAGAAAGGCCCTGTTCTCAAGACACACAAGCATTGTCAGCAGTGCTCTACGGTGTCACTTCCATTCTTCTGGAATAATGAGTTCCAAAGTGGCTGTGGTAATGTCTGCAGAATGCATAAAATGGAATAATACTTTATATTGTGTATATGCCCGTGTACAGTACACTGTGACTGTACAGTTGTCAGGTTGTAGTAGGATTATTTTTCTACTTCCAAATGTATTGAAGGGGAATTTACTTCCTGTTGAATTTTTGTTTGATTTCATTTATATTCATACGATTGTCTTATTAAGTTTCAAGGTCTTTTTAATTTTAACCAATGTGACCTGTCCACATTTAGTGGATAAGAACCCTGATTTACCTAACACCCTTAAAAGACGAGGAAACTTAATAAGACATTCGTATGTATATAAATGAAATAAAAAAAATCAACAGGAGGTAAATTCCCCTTGCAATTACATTTGAAAGTAGAAAAATAATCCTACTACAACTGTACACGGGCATATAACAGGTTGGGCACAATCACAGGTGCTCGGGTTCTGGAATATATGTGATATAATCGCACCCACTAGATATCGCACCCACTTATACTAATATATGATTTATTAGTATAAGGGGTGCGATATCTAGTGGGTGCGATTATATCACATATATTCCAGAACCCGAGCACCTGTGGGCACAACGGCGCATATGGGTAATAATTCTGCATTTGGGTAACATCTTTGTATGTTATGGTTGAATGCACGTCGAATCTACTTTCACTATCCTATATAAAAAATCAAAATTTTATGATGTATAATGTATAATGTTGGAAAAATATATATTGAATCCCTTTAAAAAAAAAAGGGATTCAATATATATTTTTCCAACATTATTGAAAGTTTGAATATCCCAGTTTTATTTGAATGTCAGGAAACTCCACTGACAGTCATCATATGCAGAAGTTGTGCACCTGTGTTTGTTTTTTCCCCCAGCTATTGTAGTTGGGAGAAAATATGCCACTTTACAAAATTCTCAACCAAATCTTGTCAGAAGTTCTCCCTACAGTACATTTTTTTTCAATAGAATTTTGCCAGCAGTGATCCTACTTACCTTCTTGAACAAGATGTATGTATAGTATGTATGAAACTTTTTAGACATGATTGGGTACCGCATTACCTATAAAATCATTAAGTTTTGGTAAGATTGTCTTCCTAAGAATTGGACAGTCTCCAGGTTCAAAGACTTGTTTGATTCTTTTTGTATGGTATATCCGTGATCATTTGTCCTATCACAAGATAATTATTGCTGCCACCAATCCTTGTTAAATCTAGTGAGTTCCTTCAACGTTGTCTTTAGGATTAAGACTTGGGGACTGACTGATGACCGCAAGTACACATGTAGGTCAAATCATGTGTTCGTTTTGACTGATAATTTGTAACAGGAGAGGAAAAATGCACGGCCAGACCGGGGTTCGAACCCGGGTCCCTCCAAACTCTTAGACAGATGCTCTACCAATTGAGCTATCTGGTCGCCGACGATCGACCCAGTCCAGTTCCGCTATATTCCTCCCTCCTTTAACAAAGTCTTCTACCCCGAAGACACACGAGACCCTATACCACCTTTCAATGATATTTTATTTTGCAGACTACATATGTATTATGTTGCTGTTCTGTTTGTAGGTTTTGGCTGGGTGTGGTGTGTATGACGGAAGTGAAGTTCATGAAGCATCGGCGTAAGTGTCATTATTAATATGTTTTGCTTCTGTTTGATATCAAACCACTCTTAATGTTAGTTTTGCTGATACCTGTATGTACTTTTAAAACCAGCAAAGATTTAATATCTCAACATTTATCATACATTTTCAGAAAAGTAAAACCATTGGGTATTCCACAATGTCACTGATGTGGATGGGATACCATACATTTGATCGGATAATTATCTACCGGTATGTCCATATAACCTGTTAATCTATTTAACTTAAGCCACTTAAAGGCACCAGTATTTCATGCATGTTCCTTTACCGGTACATATACTGCTAAATCTATGTCTGTTTCACAAAACTGTCATGGGTTTTTGAAATTTAAATAAACAGCCTTCTTGGAGTTAAAATCAAGGAAAGAAATATCCTTATATATATATCCTTATATAGCAATACATTTTTATACGCCTGTCAAATTTGACGGAAGTATTATAGTATGGGGTTGTCCGTCCGGCGTAAACTTTTTTTGACCGATCTCTTTGAAACTTGGTATACATCATAATCATGATATGAAGTTGTGTTTCCCTTAGAAGAATTTTGATTCAATATTTTTTCCAAAAGTTATTGCCCTTTGTTCATTTCAGTATTTGATTTTTGTCTGGCAATCCTCTCCTACATTTTTTAACGGATCTCTTTGAAACTTGGTATACATTATAATCATGATATGAAGTTGTGTCTCCCATTAAAGAATTTTGATTCGACAATTTCTGCAAAAGTTGTTGCCCTTTGTTCATTTCAGTATTTGATTTTTTGTTCAGAGATTTTCTCCTACATTTTTTATAGCATGTCAGCTAACCACTCTTAAAATGATGCAGATCTTATTTCAATGTAAGAGAGTATATAACACTATATGGCATTCGACGGGCGTATATTGTTCTGCCCCGCAATTTCAAATTTTCGTTATTTATAAATAATGTATCGGTATTTTGAATGCTCGTCACACCTGTAATAACTGGAAACTTGTATAAACATGTATTTTTAGTCCAAATAGGAAAATAAAGACTGAAATTGGGAAAATGCAGTGTCATGTTTCGATTGGAAATTGGGGCCTGTATCGGTCCCTATAAACACCTGGCGAAAACCCTGCATGTGTTAAAATCTTTGTTTGAATAACCAAAAGGCCCAAAGTGAGGATATTTTGGCCAAAAGCATGCTCGGATGAAGGGCTATCAAACAACTTTACCTGAATAACAAGAAGACCATGGGTGGGTGATGATATTTGGCTAGTATCGTGCTGGGATGAAGGACTACAAAATAACGTTTGCTCAAATAAACATTAAGTAACAATTTTCAAGGTCATAGGGATCAAATGTTTAATTAAACAGTTTCTTCTTAATAACCAAAAGGCCCATGCTGGTGATATTCAGCCTGTTGCTTAATTTAGCCCATTTTAATACATATGCTCTTTGTCAGCTTTGAATGTTATTGGTGTGAGAGTAATACAAGGTTACCGATTCAGGCCCATTGTGCCTCTTGTTTATGTGATGTTTTCAGGATGCTGAATCCAAATTCTGATCTGTAAGATAAAAGATAATATTTTCACATCATTAATTGGTGTATCCCATTTTCAGAACTTTGGTCCATTTGAGTCGTGGACAGGCAGAGGTGTCCATGTTTGCTCCAGATGTGGATCAGATGCATGTTATAAACCACACCAAAGGAGAACCCATGGAACCCAAGAGGTATTCCAATTGCTGATGATGTGAGAAAGTGTGAATTGATATAGTTTATCAGGCCTATTTACCTAGAACAGGTGCTAGAGGCTACTGGGAAACAGTAGTAATTCTGTTTTTACTGCAAAATGGAAGGATCGATCATTTGAAATTTTAACTGTATGAGAATATTGTAAAGTTCATACCTGCCAACTTTCTGAAATTTCCATGGGGAAGAAATCATTAGATTTTGGAATATAGGAACAGTTAAGCAATGTCACTGGTTGAAAGAACTTAATTTAAGGCTCCCTCCTAAATAGGGAGGGTTGGCCCTCATGGTGAAGTGTTTACAATTGTTGATTAAATTATTTTAATGGGTTGTATTCATTTTACGATTATGATGACAAATTTGATAAAATTGTTAAACAGACTTACTGGTACATGTACCTATGGATCTTTATGTAGTTGGATCTGTATAGAGTCTGAATTATTATGAAACAGTTTTTACTTGTCAATAAATAAAATAAGTGAATGAATGCTAAAATATCATGCACACTTCACTGAAGTTCACTCTTAAATTGAAGTGTATTTCCCCCGACAGGAATGTGCTTGTCGAGTCCGCAAGAATAGCCAGGGGGAAGATTGATGCTCTGTCAAACTTAGACTCTTCCAAATTTGATGCTGTCATCTTCCCTGGTGGATTTGGTGCAGCCAAAAATTTGTAAGCTATTTTGATTTTGGATTTATCCTTTATAAATATTAAAACATTTTTTTTATGAAATAAAAGTTTGCAGTAAGAATTGAATTTGAAAATCTGATGAGTATTACAAATACACAATTTTGTTTGTTAAATTTATGTTTAATGTGTTGAATAAATAAATTTGTATCATGGTTAAAAAGAATGGAGAATTGGGATTAAAGATAAATCTAAGACAGATCTATTAATTCCTGTTTTAACTGTGTATACCTATAGAGTCATTGGGGAAAAGATAATTTTCTGTTAATACAAAGTTCTCGTTGCGCTACATTTTGTAGGAGTACATTTGCGGTAGACGGAGCTGATGGTATGACGATTGAGAAGGATGTTCAAAGAGTGATAAAAGACTTCCATAAAGAAAGCAAACCCATTGGGTATGATTAAAACATGTCAGAATTGATAGAATTTCCTTGTTAACACAGCATAGGAGTGTCTGTTGTCAGTTTGAATTTCTTTGGGCATGTTTTTGTGTTTAAATCTACAATCGATTGGAACTTTTTATCACATTGTTTTTTTTGCCACCATAGTAACAATACATTTATCATGTTTCCCTGGAATGCTGCTGCCAAAAGCCTGTGTGGGCTGAATTATGGATCCTGACAAGGTACTTGTATCTGTACATTCTAACACGTATATTATATATATATACTTTGGTTGTTTAGTGTTTCAAGTTGTGCTGTATGATCAGAATTCTGCTGTAGTTAAAAATTGAGGTTTACATTTCAGTCTCTGCTGTATGATTATGAGTCTTCTGTAGTTAAAAGTTGATATTTATATTCCAGTCTGTGCTGTATTGCCCCTGTTCTCGTTGCCAAGCTGGTTCCAGGCTGTGAGGTCACAGTGGGGTCAGATAAGGAGGAAGGGGGACGCTGGCCGTACGCAGGAACAGCAGATGCCATCGAGTCCATGGGATCCAAACACATCAAGAAAAATGTCACTGTATCCTTACACACCTCAGACTAGTCTAGCTGCTTCACTAGTAGAAACCTGTGATTAAGTTTACTTTTGTTCAGAACATCTATCATACTAATACTTCAAGATGAATGATTATACACCCTCTTTAATAAAATCGGATGTTCAAAATTAAAAAATTAGAAATAAAAAGAATAATCAAGAATTTTACATTACATTATTCATGTATCGATATATCCCATCCATAAAATAAATTACATGAATCAAAAATGCAATTACCGATATTGTTAAATCCTCGATCACTGAAATATCATAACCTGTGTGGAATTTTACAAGAGTTGTCTACCTTCAGTTGGCAACGTCGGCTGCTTTTGTTCTCATGTTTCAAACAGTTTGACTGATTAGAGCAAAGTTGTTTGTTTATCAAATAGTTGCAGAACAAGTGAAAGCAGTCTGATGTTGGTTTCTGGCAAACACTTCAAATGGCTGCCTTAATATTTACATAGCGGCCTCGCTTTACCCCTGAACATTTTACATCTAAAAGCAGACAAGCTAAAACTATTCTGCTCTCTTCAATGAAAAGTCCTGTGGTGGTAGTGTAATACCTACTCTTAAGCAGTAGGGGTTATATATGTATTTCTATACAACAACAATAACCTTAAGTTGCACATTACAAGTATATGCCACTCCTAACTTATTTCCTTAACTCTGACCAGGACGTCCATGTGGACGAGAAGAACAGAATTGTTACAACACCGGCCTACATGTGTGAAACTGGTCTCCACCAGATTTTTGATGGCATTGGGAAAATGGTAGAAAATGTTCTGTCCTTGGCCAATACTAAAAGTAAAATTTAGCACTGTAGTGCATGAAAAAAATAAGTGTAATATGGGACTGGATATTATTCAAAATTATTTAACAAGTGATGATATGATCAGTCCCAAAACTAGTGTGATATTGTCTAGTGCTATGGTGTGTGATATTGTCTAGTTCCTCAGCCCTGACAAAAAGTTGAACAGTGAACCCTCATTGATTCCGCCACCTCTTTGCTAAAATGGCAGGATTGTGATGGCTTGGTCATCTGTTGGTTTATACAGCAGGACAATAGGCTACTGATTGCAGCGGATTTTACATATTCTGGAAAGAAGTGGAACTTTAATATACTGAGGCCAAGCCTACATAATATTAATAAAGGTTGATCCTGTCGTTCAGTATCGCTTTCATTTTATGTTAGTACCTGTAACTCTAATACTTTTTAACACCTTGTTTTCTTTTACATAAAATGTATCTCAAAACAGAAAACTTTTCAGTTGTACATTAAAAGGAATACCAAACGCAAGATCCAGTTGAATGAAACGCATGAAAAGGCATACGTTTATAAACTTGCATTGCATGGTTGGAAATAAACCAGTGCTTTTAATAAAGGAAGAAGACATATATGTAAATGTACAAGAATTTATTTTATAGAATAAATACATTTTGAATATATCAACATTTCATTATTTTATTTTTAAAAAAGGAAACAATTAAAAATGAATGCAACATGTTAAAAGCATGTTACAACACATCCATGTTACAGCACATATTGTAGAACATTTAACTTACACTTTATTCTTATTTTTACGTTTCTTGTTCATATTCATAAATTATAGTCAACACAAACTATGTGTTCACAACACTTCAATCACCAATTGTACGACAACTTTCACATCACTTGAGGAGATGGAGTCAGTGTTATATGTGTACACTCCAGGAGTGTAGGCCTTGAACCAGTGTAGCTTGTCGATTGCACAATTCTGGTCCCTAGGTTTGAACATGCTTCCTATCTGCACTGTTGACATTTTTACATGTTATAAAGTACTGTTTTCTTACACATACTGAAAAAGACCACACATTTTAAGGAGATCCGTCTTCAGCCACTTTATGAACTTTGTTGATTCTTCCAATAAGAACATTTTCCTTTTCTCGAAGTTTTGCTGCAATTTCACTCTGAAACGACAATAAAATGAGTTATTGGTGATCTACAGTTTAAAAGCAAATTGCCTCAATTTTGGGATATTGTTTATATTTTAAATATCGGATCAGAATTTCAGCTGCTATTCTGAAAGCTGTTTTTGTTACTATTTTTTTCCACAGCTGTAAAACATTGGGGTGACATTCTTGTTTACCTGTAATGGGTCCAGCAACTCCTTGGCTACACTTTCTATTACTGCTCGCACATCATCCACCGTGAGCTCGGAGAAAATGTCTGTGTCCAATTTTGTGTCTAGCTCCTCCATCGCTTTGTCTCCCTCCTCCTGAATTCAGAAATAACAGTCAAATATGTGGCTATACAGAATTAAACAAATGATAATAGAGTTACCTCCCTTCCTCTACTGACTACCCACGTTGTTCCTTAATCAAATTTCTCCATTCATAACAATTCAGTGTATCATTGTGAACATTTAAACATAATATTTGTTAGTATGACATAGAGCTCAAATTGTGTTACAAAGATTTTATAAAATTCTTTACACTAAAATACATACTTCTTTAATTTCCTAAACTGCAAAGTCAAGCTTAAGGATTACATATTTATTATACTGGTAATAAATCCTTAGTAAATATACCTTTAATCCATTTATTAGTCATTAGAAATAACATGTTATCAATGTCATAACTATTAGATATGTTGTATTACGCTTATTTATACTTAAGTCTTATATGGGCTAACCTGAAACCATTCAGAAAAAAAATATATGCAGTATAAGTATTTTCCAGTTGTTTGCCAGTGCCAATCTGAAATTGAAGACACTTTAACATGGACAATTACAAGAACAACATGTCCAAATGATGCCTGTGCTGGTTATATATAATGTTTCAAAGGTGGTTAAATTCCAGTTTTCAGGGTACAAGTATAGTTAATTCAAAGTTACTGTAAGATAAAAATGTTAGTAAACGACCAAACGTGGTTAGACACACGACTTATGGGTGAGGAAATGTTAGTAAAATACAAGCTAGTCCAATAAAAAGCTCTTCTAGAATGAAATCTCTTTATGAAATGTTTCTTTTGGGCTTTCCCACATTTTGAGCGGACACGTATATAATGAAAATCAAACTAACATGATTAGGACGCAAACAAGGAAACCAATAAAACATTTTGGTCAGTTAAACAACCTGATTATAAACAAGGAGGTAGCGATTGTAGATATGTAATACTAAACAAAGAATCAACAGTACTTTCTGTTTGAGCATGATTAACTTAAGTGACTAGAAGGTAATATTTATGAACATTCTGGGTACATTACATGTGTAAGTAATACTGACATTTTACCATGTATTTTATGTGTACACAATACTTGAGTGTTTCAGGTCACATCGTCAGCAAGTCACATAACTACTTACACAACAAAGGACTGGTAGGCAGTATGTCATATATACACCCTCATATAAGTGACTATTTTTGTCATGTTTTTCATTATAAATCTACTATGTATTTTTGTCATCATTTTTGTCTAAATTATACATGTGTAGCTGCTAACTTGAGGGAAAAAATTGACTGGAAGATTTTTTTTATCATTTTCATAAAAAGTCTTGATTTTCCTCTTTTTTAAACACTAAACAGCACCAGACTTTAATTAACACTTAAGAATCGTCAAGTAGCCAGTAACTATAGGGCTGCCACTGACAGCTTTCTGTAGTCCAGGTCAAAAGGTAGCAGTCCTTTCAAGACCATACTCCTGAGATCATGTCAAACTAAAATTAATGTTTAAGTTCCACGAGTTTCAAGATGTAAATTTCCTTTGTGGGAAGAAGGGTAGAAAATGTTGGTTTTCTTGATTTCATTACCTACATTCTGGTGAACTCTAAATACAATTGACAACAGATTTTTATTTGCCATTAAATTTATATTTCATTCTATGGCCCTTGTTTGATATTTAAAGGAGTACAGCTGGGCTACTTGTCCGGGAGATCTGAGTTGACCAGCTCTATTTTCGAACTCTGGAGTAATTGTATAGAAGGTTATATTTACTTGCTTACATATAGTTACATACAGAGAAATGGGATGGTTGTCAATATGCATTTTCATTTCATTTGTATCTCTTAACCTGGTATTACAAGATATTTTACCAATATATTATTGTAGAGGGAGGGTAAAGTGGGAGTGGAATATTCATAACATAAGAACCAGGAACAATGTGTTATTGTAAAGAGATAATAATAAGATATTAGTTGCTGATCCTATCTTCTACAAGATGTTCAGAATGTATGTGATTTATTGAGAGTATTTTAAACTGCCAATGTGATCTAATAGGAACAGCCCATCCACATTCACCATAATGTACCGTTAATGTAGTGTAACAGAACCCTAGGACTAACAATAACATCAGGTGCAAGCTTCAGTGAGTGAATGAAAATATTACGGCAAATAATGAATCAAAACTTTTGCTTTAAATATTAAAATATGGTACTTTACACAGTCATCAATGTTTCACTTGGTGACTGACATTCAGTTCATTTGACGTGAAAGCCACCATGTCGCACATATGCTGAGGTAGAACTAACAATTAAAACAAAGAAATGTGGATGGGCTGAAACACTATGCTTTTTAACAGGAACTAGAGAGCTATTTAAGCATCTGTTCTTACCTCTCCAGCCAAACCACCTTCACTTTTAACTACCTGGTTAATGGTGAGACAACAAAACTAACAAATGTAATGTGTGGACACCAGCCAGAGCATTAACATTTTTATTTTTTTTGACATTGCCCCAAATATATTCTAGAATATAAATTATCTTATGATTGATTTTCATTTGTTTGAAAATCAATCACATTTGAATTTCTTGAAGAAACTTAAAAGACCTAATTACACCATAATATGTACATACATGTAGCATAAAAAAAGTGAATTTGTAATTGAAATAAAGTTTTCAATAGGAATTAATATCCAACTGCATCTTTATCAACTGTGCAAATAATTCCCCCAGAAGAGCCCCTGTCCAACTGTCATCCACTGGAGACATGTACATTCAAAGGTCAAAAATCTTTGCCATTAATATACAGACATTCACCACAAATTGATGTAAATTATAAACACATGTACACTGTCTAAAGGTCAGGGCTATCACAGAATTCCAGAAGTCAGTGTTCCGAGGGTACACAGGGAAGGACTTTTGTCTGTCCCTGCCTCTCTAGTCACATGTTTTACAGTTGCTGTTTAGACTTCAGCTACATATTATCTATTGTAAGTGCCCTCTCTCCCATATATCATTTTGATTAGTCCTCATCAACTCAGACAATTACGAGACATCAACATTAAACAGTCAATATGAAGACATTGTTTGCATGTATTAATTAATTAATTATGTATACATTAATTTCTGTGGTGAAACAAAATATATACAGGTATACACAGTTTACCAGTGTAATTGTTAAAAGTTTAGTTGTATTTCCACAGCCACAAAAATATATAATATATAAAACGCTGACATGTGATGTTAACCTGCTTGTCATCCTTCACAAATTATAAAACTTATTATACTGGGTCTATTATCGTTCAATATGATCTCTTATTGCTGTTGATCTGAGTGTGACTCATGCACTTGCCATTAGTTGTCAGATGTGAAATATCATGAGCATGATGAACTAAATCAGTTTAAGTTGAGGATATTTGTATTCTGAAGGATAGCAAAACATCACAAAATTTTATTATACAGAACTTCTGTCAATAATTAAAACATTTATAATTGTGACAAAAATTACATTCTATACAAATTATTTTTTTGTGAAATCATGCCACTAGAGTAGGACAATGTTTAATGTGACCAGAGGGTGTCTAGTGCCAGTAGAAAACTCTGTACCCCACTACACTGTATTGTGCGTTGTAAAAATATAATATTATTTCCATAAAAGAAACCCTCTTTTAAGGATTAAGGTGTAAAAGTACCTCAGGTTCTGGTGTTGGAGGAGGGGTGGCTATGTACGAGGCAAACATCTCTTGTGACACGCCCTCATCCAGGGGCGGGGGGAACGGTACACTTGCAGGCTTGGCTGTCTCTATCTCCAGCTGGTAAATGATAAACACACAAATGTAGAATAATATTGATATACAAATGTAGAAGATGTGAAAATTTACCGTTAAATTTATTAACAATACACAGCAATGGTGACAGATTCTTATTAACGCCTATGAACATATCTTATTATACATTATAACCTTCATCTTATGTACAAAATGGGTCAAGAAATTTCAAAATCTTATATTTTATCTGGACAAATGTTAACAACATTTTATTTCAAGTTGCCAATATCAACTTCAAATTAATTTTGTTTTAATGAGACATTAGTATGATGGAAAGAAAAAATATTTTAATGGTGTAAATTTAGTCACTCTGATACTAAGTTTCACACATCATTAATCTATAATGCTAGACACCACTGGCTTGAAACGTGAATGTCTCTGACAGTCGGCTTCACTTCTACATGTGATCAATGCTATGTTTTATAGATATATGATAAAGACTATACATGCATGAAAAATATGACAAACATGAAATGCCAATATTAGTTTGATTTCAGGATATCACACCTTTTGGGAAAAGTCATAAACGTTATCCAATATAGAATAAAAGTGCCCATTTTGCATTAGGAATATAGGGTCATTAAAGTGATAAACATGGTGTACACATATACTGCATGTACTCACATCAGTGCCAATAATTTCCTCAGCTTGAGTTTGATTGAACATTAATTCATACAGCTTATAGTGTTGAAATAGACTGAAAGAACAAAAACAAAGCAACATTGGATTTTGATTTGCAAGGACAGGCTGCTCAAACATGTACAAATCTGTTCCTGATATTAAATTACACATAATTACACATTGGACTTATACGGACTATGATCTGAATATAGAGGCAGGTATGTCTGCGTTCAGAATAAACTAAGTTAACTAAGTGAACTAAGTTAATAAACTAAGTTAATAATTAACTTTGGACAGAATGTTAAATCCATAGCTTTTGAGATTGTTCCATATTGGAGGCTCCTCCCAGTCTAAAACACTCAGAGCTAGGGCCAAAGATTATTTTTCAACCGTCTTTAGTTTGTACAGAACACAAAGTTAATTTCCCTTTGGAGCCAATTAATGAAGCTAGGAGATAAAAGGTGGATCATACAGATGGTGAATACAGTGAAATCCCACTAACAAATATGTACAATAACTTTTGACGTAAAATTGGACTAACCTGTCCACAATAGTATTGTTTATACTTACCAAGTGGTCACATACGTGGTTACAGCTTTAGCCTGTTGTGTGTTGAAAAAATCTAAACCAGCAGACTTGATTTGTTGATACTCAGGTTCAATGCCAATTAACAATTTCTTAAACTCTTTCAAGTTGTCTACCATTGTCATATGTTGTTCTGTGAGAAGGAAAAAAGAACTTATGAATAATGAAAGCTTGTATAATCTTTTTTATTTGCCTGCCATTTTTGTTTTCTTGAGGGGGTGGGGTGGGGTATGTCATATTACCCCTTCTGTCCCATTGTGTCAGGTTCTCACAGTGCCTCCCAATTCAATGCCATCTCTCTAATGATGTCGTATTATAGCAGATTTTGATGAAACTTTATACAAAGGTCAAAAAGTAAATATATTATCTAAGTGTCGTGTGACTGTATTTCAGGAATCCTAGGTCAAGGCTATGGTCTATTTTACTATTTACTATTTATAGAAACTTGTTAACCAAATTAGTGACATCACCCTACCAATTTTATTTCTAAAGATTTTTTTTTTTTTTTTTTTTTTTTTTTAAAAATTTTTTTTTTTTTTTTTTTTTTTTTATAAAGGTCAAGTATGAGAAAACCTTGAGTTGAATAAGATCATATTTCATAGTTCCAAGGCCAAGGTCACTGTTACTATTTATAGGAATAAGTCAAACAATGACACTAATTTGGATAGGAGCAGGCGACATAATTTATATCTTACAGACGTTTTCAAGTTTCAACAATAGAACACCTTCAAATTTTGTTCAAAATAAAACTACCTAAAAAAACAAGATTCCTCGTCATGTAAAACAATAACTTTCATATGAAATAGAGCAACAGTTCATCTGACCTCAATATCATTGTCTGGAATACCAAAATTAACTGATGAAGATTTAAGTTCTATATTTCATAAACAAATATTGATAGTAATACACAATGTACAATATAGTTCTGAGCTTCTATAGTGTACAGGAACAAGGTACAGTTACCTGTGTGATCTATTGATTTCTAAAAACACATACTCATTATTTCTATTCATATTGTGCCCACCTGTCCTATTTTAAGTAACTTGTATCTATAAAATTAATTACTTTCTCTCCCCAAACCTTTGTATAATTTCACCATGTTATTGATATCAAGTGAACAGGTGAGTCACAGCCTTTATACTGTACCTGTACATTTCATGAATATTGAAGTCACATCATGGTAACATATAATGGGTGTAAAAATGTATGTACAGTACCAACACTTCGAATTCATTATAAACTCATAACTTTGTTAAGCTGACAGTTGATAATTGAACTTAGCATCAGTATTATGTATAGATTACAGTAGTCTGAATAAAAACACATTGAATATATATATACGAAATTGATAATTGTTTTCAAAGTTATACTGGGAACTTACAATGAATTCTTAACCATAGTTAAAACCAGACAATTGGGGGGGGGGGGGAAATAGAATTCTGTCCCCCTAATTGAAAACTAGATGGTCATGACAGGTGGTGTTATATTACAGTCAAAATAGAATTAATTATTTACACTGGTATATTTTACATTTAAATTAAGGTACCATGATATATCAGTTACACTATCTACAATTTAATTACCCTCAGAGAGAAATTTAAATTCAATTATAGATAGCCACTGAGATAAATTAAATTGTTAAAGGCTTCTCCTAGCCGTTTGCTTTGTTTGATTTTCACCTATGTACTGTGAGTTTATGGAAATTAGATAAAATGTACTCATTGAAAATAGACGTATGTTTCCAACTTGTCACTGCATAAAAATGAGGCCAGATTCTATATGATTCATTCAAAGTTGTGAGTGTTTGAAATCAATTTACAGTGTTAACAACCATTTTACTTCTTGATGTAACATCACAACTTTTTCCACCTAAGGCTCTTCATGTAGTAACATAACTAGACTCTTTGGTAAGAGAAACTAAACATAAGACTCTGAAAACAGCACTAGCAATATCAATCATTAACAATTTATCTAATATCTATCTTCTCTTTAAATCCATTTAGGTCAATAATAACCTTCAAATTATGTTGTTGTTTGACCAAATATTACATTATTTTTCTTTGGTTAACATTTTGAAAATTGAACATTTTATTTATCATTTTAAAGTAATAAAAATTCCTTGACATTTACCATATCATTTGGTGAGAAGACTGGGCCTGGGTAATGCAAACTTTGAGATCTGATTATAAATTTATATATACCAGTATATATGGGGACTGCTTATTACAGTGACAATTGTTTAATGGTAATTAAAGCGTATATTATAACAAATGACAACATAAAGAAATAATAACTGGATCACTTTCATTTCACTGTCACATATATTTGCCTATTTACTGATAGAATTGATATGAAGACAAATGATGATTTTATCTAAATTCAGATTAAAAGAAATTTTTCTCATATAAATGTATCGTACATTGAGCTATATTAAAAATTGGAGAGAGTTATTTTAATTGTTCTAGACACGACACTGATATTAAAGTTCAAGTGAGGATACATTAACAAAACTGTATAACCAGCAGCTGAAGTGTGGGGTTTAGGGCAGTCTCTAGATCTCAGTCTCCTTTACACTGTATTTAGGACCATGAAGTTACAGGACTTTTTGATACCAGTAGACTATCACTTCCATAAAGCTGGGCTGACAATGCAAACATTTTAGGTACAAGTAGTTTCATTATATTATACATATCCTTCATACCTACTTATTTATATTAAGTGTTCCGAGTACCCAGTAAAGGGCTGTTGAAAGCCAGATCTAGAAATGATTGTGGAGCACATGAGGTCGCAGTCTTAAGGATCCCTGTCCCACTGCAGGTGAAACACTAGAGAGTTCCACTGTGGATTTTCATTTTCACTCCCCTAGATTTTATTTTGGATATTGCTGTAGTCGGGTTATTCCAGGGAACTACCAATGATACCACTGATGAAGGTAGCTGTTTGTTTGAGCAACGATATTGTGATCCGAGGTTCAGGGTTCAAATCTAAGCCTGCATGATCCCTTTGCATTTTCATTCTGGGAACAATTGTCGATATGTCATTTTTGTTTATTTATGATCTGATCATAACTTCAACATATTGATTATCAATTGATAATGTGTTAACATTGCAGTGCAAGACAACAATATCATGTGACCTCGGGGAAGTATGCGACTACAAACATTGCATAAATCCAATTTGAATGACACGTATTTGATAAAGTGGTGTGTTTTTTTTATCACACTGTGTCAAAGTTTATAAACTTTTTTGTGGGAATCCTGCCATCAAATGGGTAAAGAATTTTTGTTCAATTCTCACTTCATTGGAATCAATTTAAGACTCCTAGAAAATATCTTAGCATTGCAGATGAGTATAAAATATGAGTAAAAGTAATGGAGTAAAAGGGGACAGGGAGGTGGGTACATTCAATTTCATTTGTCTTCTTAATTTGTTTACTAGACATAATAATTTGTCTGTGTTACACAAATACCTAGGTGATAGTCCTGTTTTATCACTTTTCCCTTGTTTTATCAGTTTTTGTCTGATGATGTCAGTCATGTAAGTGTGACCGGAAATGTCATTTAATATTACTCTAATGAGTAAAGTGACAAGCGGATGATTAACTATGTTTTATACAGGGAGATTACAAAGCCTACCATAGCATTTAATGAATTGAAGGAACACCGGTGCAAGGAAAGTTTGATTGACTCTTTGTATAATGAAATGAACATTACAATATTTGCACCAGTAGGAACCAACATAAACCAAATTAAACACCACCTGGACTAATAATTGTTTGGAAAAACAAATGTGGCTATTTGAATGTTTTCTTTATATAGTTACCAGAATTAACCATATATATTCTGAAGAATCTCCTTGACGAGATGAAAGTACTAAAGACTGGTTGTTGAGATGTTTTCTTTTTATATTATTTCTTCGTCCAGAAGGATAATTTTTCTGCTTTTATAATATATAGGGGAGGGATGGGAGGAATGATTTCAGGGACCTCACCACTCATGAAATCTTAAAAGTGATTTTATTTAAGGAATGGTAGGCAGATCTGGTTTTATTCGCCACCACCTATAATACATGTACATGTATATCAATATCGGTGCCTCCCACCTCCCCATACTATAAACTATGGAATAGTCCTTATCGATGAGTGGTGAGCAAGAACTAATTCTGAATTCTATATTCCAGTCAAAAATGGTATCCTATCAGCCAGAGCAACTGCATTAATACATGAAAACATGATATACCCAGGGGAACGCGACAACAGCCATTATGGCAGTGCTTACCTTTTACATTATCTAGCAGTATGTGTATGACGGTGAAGAAGCCGGAGAGTTGTTGAGGAAGGAAGCCTTGTTCCTTGCCCCACCACACAGCCCCAGTGTAGTAGTCTAGCACTCCAGCATCACGCAGGTCTGTAGTGTAGTTGTGTAGTTTGAAAATATCACATAACGTCCTGAAAAAGATTGGTTGGATATGAATAACAATGAAAAAAAAAGGAGTAACAAGCATAACGAATCAAGTAAAATGTAAATGCCTCAAATAAACTAAAAAAAAGGTTGGGATAACTTTATTTTCTAAATTTAAGCCTGTTTGTAATCCAGGAGTTCCTATACAAATTTTCCTTGTCAAATCATCCATAGATGGGCAATGAGACATAACAACTACATCGTTTACTGGCTAGTCTAAAAACAACAGATGAAAGTGGGAAAAAAACTTACGTCTGCATTTCGTCAACATCTTGACCAAGAAGTGTTTTACATTGATCTTCTGATAGAATTTTGTATGCTAAGCTTCCCTCTTTCTCATCAGCTTCATCATCCTGAAAATGAATAACAATTTGCAGGTTAAAAATCATTTTTGTACAAGCTAATTATACATTCTGTATTTAACACTTATGATAAAATATGAGATTTTTATATTAGAATGGATGCTTCAATTCAAAAGGCTCCTGTATCACATATTGTACTACTTATATTACACTGAAATTCGAAGAGTATTCTGGGTCCAACAGCTCATCTGAAGAAGGTTCAACACTTTCATTGTCCAAAATGGTTTGTAACATGGTCAACATATTGCAATCACATCAAGGCTGCAGCTTTTACACCAGTTGTTCACACAGGAAAATCCTAGTCAAGTATTGAACCTCAGCTCTTAAACATATTGTGAATCCTACTGATTTCATACACAAAACGTAATGACTTGCGACACAAATGCTTTTGTTGTATCCCTCCAATGAATGTCTCATCCTTTGAATGAGAGGTATTGATTAAAAACTATGATGCACATGCCACAATTAATAGTCTTTTCTTAACAAAACTGCACACCAATTTAAATTGGTTACAAAGAAAATGATACAGTGGGGATACAAGGGGCCAAATAATCTCTTGTCATACATGCATGTATAATAGAAAGTTTATAGATGTCCAAGAAAGCGAACGTTCATCAACACGAACTGTGTATCGATGATCAACAACCCCCAGAGGTAAACTTTGTATTCATTTCAACAACACAAAGCACAAACATTGTTGACAAAAACAAAAGACGCATAGACAATGCTCTGACCATACTGTATAAATAATTAATGTTTTGGAATAAAAGCTGTCTGCCATCCATGATAACAATGCACTGAATACCACTCACACTGACAAACAACTTTTCATACAATGTCAATATTTAAGCGTCGTAACATTTTTTTGTTTTTTGTTTGTTTTACTTTTAAAACAGTAAAATGTATTGATGCGGTGCATTTTTAATTTTATAGGTCTTTTGAAGTATTAGTAGAGTCTGGTCTGCTATGACTTCAAATGCAACATGTAGATTGCCATGTCGTATCTTTACTGTTAATATACTGTTGGAATAACCATAAATGCTCTGTATCAGAACGCTTACTGTAATAATATATATAGATTGCTATTTATAGTGATATAAAGTAATAGTGTATTGTCACACAATACTATATATTCAAACAAAATTTAACAATACATTTTACACATCCTCACATTTCCTGATTTAATACATTCCCTGTCCTTTTTAATCGTAGTATCAACATCTACTTAACGCATCGATTTCTTTGGTTTATTCATTTTAAACAATTGTCATCACCGGGTTTGTTTACATTTTGTAACTGTCATTAGTGTCTTTTGATAATTATCTTCCAAAAATATACCAATCGAATTATGCTTTTCCAACATTTCTAGATATATTTTAATCCTAACCAACATTATATTTACATTTAAGGGTCATAAATAAATACTGCTATCATGACCAAGCACCTGTTGTTGACATGTGTTCGCGTACAAGAACGAATGTCTACGTTTACAAAGACTGACTTAAAGAACAATAAACAGTGATAAACGATGGATATATAAATTATATAGTGCTTACTCCCTCAAGAGTAACTTTTTTCTTATTTTTAGGGTCGCCTTTCGCCTGTGATGAGTTAGAAAGGGCGCTTTTGCTCCCCTTTCCACCAACTTTTTGGCCTTTCGCCGCCATTTTGTTGCTATGTACGTTTTCACTTTCCTACTCTCTAGTATTGAAGAGTTCTGATAAAGTTGTTACAACTTACCTGCTTCTTTCCCTTATCTTTTCCTCGAGACTGGAAATCAAAAAAGAAAATGTATATCATGTATATGTTATCTCTCGGTAAATGTCTACTTGATATCATACATTTTATTTTAGGTTATATAAATGATAAGGCTAAGCTAACAGACGGGTTATTGCATTTAATTTATCATAGAACTTAGAAGCATTAGAAATCAATGACATTATATGGATCTACAAATGTATATATATTGGTACCAGTTCTGATGTATAACCCCTTACTTGCCGATTGCATAGACTAAAAACAACAAACTAAACAAAAACCTAATCGTACCCTATCCCAGATCCCATATAATTACACAAGATATGTGCTTTGTACCATTGGACAGACAGCTAGGGTGAAGGTACCCATAATAGAACACTTAATATGTATGATGCAGCATTTTATATTTTGCAAATATCATCTGTCTACCTCTTAAACATTGCTCATAAACTCGATTGAAATATTAAACAAATGAAATGGAAAAAATTCCGGGAAACAGTACGATACGAAAACATAAATATTCGATCATATTTCAGTAAAATTTGTCAGAAATTGTCAAAACTTTTCTTAAAATGAAGAAAATAATTTAAATGCTGTCAGTCATTTTCATAAAATGACTTATATGATGAAGTGTTCCATTTTGGGTTCTCGACCAGCCAAATATTCCAATTGAATCTGACGCACTTTAATGAGCTCTATAAATAGACACACGTGCTGTTGATACCCAAGAAATACATAAGATGAAGGCTTTCAGAAACTTTATAGGAAATATTAATATGTTTCTTTAAAAAGTATTCCATTTTGGGTACCCTCACCCTATACAGTACAGATCTATATCCACAAGAAAATCAAACTGTATGTTTTACTGTTTATTTTAATCATCCGTTTTTTAATTAATTTTCATGAACAAAGTTAATGTTTGTTTTCTATGTTATTCTTCAAAAACAAAATGATTTAGGCAACAGGCAAAGTCTAATTCGAACTTCCGCTAATATATAATACGAAGACGAACATGTATATCACCACAGCACGGTCTTAATTCCGTGATGTCACCTACTTTATTAGTAACGTAATCATTATAACGTCTTTCATGCAAATTGAATAGTCAATGAACCTCATAACTTCACGAGTAGTTACAGCATTAACTTAATTGTTATGAAAATTAATTCAAATATGCATGGTTAATCAAAATAAACAGTAAAACATATATATATATATACAGTTTGATTTTCTTGCAGAGATATACACTGTGATACGGTAGTAGTATTACAGTACTATACATGCACGTGAACATTATAATGTTTTTTCATGCATGTTAAATGTTCAATGAACCTTAGAATTTCACGAGTAGTTATACAGTTCAGCTATATGAGGCTGCTCAAAGATTGTGAATTACCAAAAGATATCATATAAATACACTCAGATAACAGGGGTGGATCGAGGAATTTAGAAAAAAAAGTGTATACCCTCAGGGTGATGTTTTTGTAGTCTAACCCTCGGTAGAGCCTCGGGTTAGACAACCAAAAAAACATCACCCCTCGGGTTGGAGATTTCTCTGTCACACCCTCAAGGTTGGGGAAGATTCAGTGCGTACATGACACAAAAGTGACAATATTACAGTGCGTACATGACAGAGAAGTGACAGTATAACAGTACGTACATGACAGAGTAGTGACAGAATAAAAGTACGTACATGACAGAGAAGTGACAATATTACAGTACGTACATGACACAAAAGTGACAATATTACAGTACGTACATGACAGAGTAGTGACAGCATTACAGTACGTACATGACAGAGAAGTGACAGTATTACAGTACGTAAACATGACAGAGAAGGGACAGTATTGCAGTACGTACATGACAGAGAAGTGACGGTATTACAGTACGTACATGACACAAAAGTGACAATATTACAGTACGTAAATGACACAAAAGTGACAATATTACAGTACGTAAATGACACAAAAGTGACAATATTACAGTACGTAAATGACACAAAAGTGACAATATTACAGTACGTACATGACACAAAAGGGACAATATTACAGTACGTACATGACAGAGAAGTGACAGTATAACAGTACGTACATGACAGAGAAGTGACAGTATTACAGTACGTACATGACAGAGAAGTGACAATATTACAGTACGTACATGACAGAGAGGTGACAGTATTACAGTACGTACATGACAGAGAAGTGACATTATTACAGTACGTACATGACAGAGAAGTAACAGTACTACAGTAAGTATACATGACAGAGAAGTGACAGTATTACAGTTCGTACATGACACAGAAGTGACAGTATTACGGTATGTATACATGACAGAGAAGTGACAGTATTACAGTTCGTACATGACACAGAAGTGACAGTATTACAGTACATACATGACAGAGAATTGACAGTATTACAGTACATACATGACAGAGAATTGACAGTATTACAGTACATACATGACAGAGAAGTGACGGTATTACAGTACATACATGACAGAGAAGTGACGGTATTACAGTACATACATGACAGAGAAGTGACAGAATTACAGTACGTACATGACACAGAAGTGACAATATTACAGTACGTACATGACAGAGAAGTGACAGTATTACAGTAAGTATACATGACAGAGAAGTGACAGTATTACAGTAAGTACATGACAGAGAGGTGACAGTATTACAGTACGTACATGACAGAGAAGTGACAGTATTACAGTACCTACATGACAGAGAGTTGACAGTATTACAGTAAGTTGTTTTACCAGTTTAGGTAGGATGTGACAGAGTAATTATAATGATGATATACGCGATATAAGATATAACAATATGACTAAACACAAAACCCATTTAACTTAAAAAATATAGAGGTTAATGATAATGCTATTTTAACTAGTAACAGAAATCCAGTTCAATGTCACAATGAAATGTCAAAAGAAAACAAAACATCCTTTTTGAAAAAATAAGTCCTTATCACAGAACGATCTCTCGATGTTATCTTGCGTGCCATTTGTTACCTTTCCTCGCTTCGACATGTTCGTTGAGATATCCTAGTACTCCGAGGAAACAAATCTGTGAATAATGATTAAATCCAAACAGCGAACCACAACAGGGTCATGACATGTAAACTCTCTGTAACAAAAAATATGACCGTTACTTTTTCAGGTAAAACGCTCAGGTAAAGACTTCAGATATGGGGGGAAATCCCTGGTCAAAAATCAATTTAACAAATATCAAAGTATGTATATCCAATGCATTGTCGAAAAGGTATATTACACATAAAGTTAATCCCATGTACACCTGTATTTACCTGTACAATACAGGTAACACCGAGCCCTTAATCCCGTTCTTATAATAGGGAAGATAAACCCGTGGTTACCAGGCGATTTTACATCAAAGTATTTTAGGCCAATAGACTACGATATAGATTATTTACCTACACGAGCCAATACCTGTAATTTGTTTAAAGCTCCAGAGGAGCCGGTGTATCATACTAGTCAGTATACTATAGGGTGTCCGCATGGGTTAACGGGACATTCAATTAAATTCCATCAGCAAGCACTCACCAAGGACCGGTTTTATAATGCTCAAAGGACGCGGTGAATTGAAGTCGTTAACATTTTGTAAAACTATGTATATTCAGACGACGCGTCTTTTTTCAATTTTTGTTGTATTATAGACCGATAAAATTAATATAAACATCAATTTGTCGATGTCTTACCTTACTCCTGAACTTGGTTGGCTGTGTATAGGGCCATATTGTTCGTGGGCACTGCTTTAGGAGGCACTGGAGTGTTAAAGATAATAGCGGTAATGAATGGAGAGGTTGATAGTATCGGTTTACTACGTATGACAATGGAATACGTAAATACGACTATTGTAGCCGATATCGACAGAGTATAATTAAACGCAGAGACACATCGCGTCGGTCTTACAAATGCTGGATTTGAAACAATTATAGGTGGACACGGTCTTTTCGTGTATAAGGTATATGTAGGTATTAGTACACACTTCTTTTGGAAAATAAGAAACAGACGTTTTATACCCCTACCTAGGATTTAATATAGAACATTTATTCGTAGTGCACAGTTGTTTACATTTCTATCAAGTATATCATTGGATAAGTATGATCCAGAATGATTGATAATAAATTAAATATACTGATATCTCAGTCCTCCGTGGATCTGTTTTGGAGGGCCTTAACGACAACTATAAGGACTAGTCAGACGTATAAGTAGGGTGTTATACCCACTGTTATACCCACTTTATACCCACTTTATACCCACTGTTATACCCACTTTATACCCACTGTTATTCCCACTTTATACCCACTGTTATACCCACTTTATACCCACTGTTATATACCCACTGTCCCCTGTACATTATTTGATATAATGTGTGTAGTATCAGAGGGACACGATTATTAAGACAGTTTGTACATTGAGATTTTTTCAGATTTAAGGCATGCCTAATTTTTGTCTTTAGTCACACGAGTGCAAGGTGTTTGATACAACAGTCGTTTAACTTATTAATAAGTTGCAAAATTTGACGAGTGTGAGTTTACATCAAACATCGTTATCAGGCGCTGATAATGTACAAACATAGCTGAAGTATAAAAACCAGCACGCCATTGATTTTGGTAGTCAATTTCTGGTTATTTCGGTATGTGACCAGGATACAATACCCAATCTATGCCACAGATCGTCATGTAGTCTCTCCTTGGCTCCAGTATAATGTACCTCTCGATCAAAACAGCAGTGGTAGTTTCATGGTACTGAAGGGAGGGGCCGAAACTCGTTTATAACCCTTCACATGGAGGACTGTTTTGAGCCGTAGTGACATGTTTTTTTTTATAGTTGGTGCATGTGATTGGAATATGTGAAGTTTCAAGAAATACCGCGGCATACCGTAAAAGGGGGTTGCTGCGTTTATTTTTGTAAGAAAGTTGTGTGACCCTTTGTGACTTAGCTTTTCCGCACCAGCAAGTGTGGGTTTGTGACCACAGCACAACTAGTCCCAATGTTAAAACGAACCTTTTAAGATGAGTTATGTGGGACGATACTTTCAATACAAATATGAGTTTATAAGAAAATCGGGATGATGTATTAATTTTTAGGAGACCTATGGCCCTTTATGACATATTTTCTTCACAAGCATTACTATCGATATTACTTGAAGTTCACTAACATATCCATCATTCAAGGACTTAACGTCTACGAGTATAAGTAAAGAAGTGTATTACTCTACACACAATACAGTATGAAGTTCTCTGTTATTATCAGAACAACACTACACTAGTGTCCGTGGCGGACTCACTTGCCAGATACCAATGACATTATGTCTTAAATAGTCATACTACTCCCTATATAGAGTAAGATATGTATTGAAATTCCCTTTGAGATTGCCTTTTTGAAATCTTGGGGTTTATATATCAACCCAACCCTAACACTGACGTAGAATCCTTAACTCTTGGGATCTTTTACACTACATCTTCCCTTTCCAGATTACATTTATTTCACCAAAATACTAGTAACCCAGGCGTATAACACTCCACTAGTTCTGTTATTTGTGTTGTTCTCTGTGTTTTCGTAGGGTGGATGAATTATGTTTAAACTTTAAAGAAAGTTTTTTTTAATAAACAGCTGGTATGGGCCAAAATGAAAATGCAACACATGCAGACAAAACACATAGGCTCACAATACAGTTTATACAACATGTTTTAAGCTAAAGCTTACCTCTACTTATGTCACCTCTCTATTAGATAGTGCTCATCCTTTAATATGTTTTGCTAAATGTTTATTGTGTAACTGTGCATGTCTTTTATATGTCGGTTTTAATAGCTCATTAGAGCTAATGTTGTATTGTTTTTGATCATACCGACGTTAACTAAAACTTTTGATTTGATTTGATTTGATGTGAGTGAAAAACACCGATTCAAACATACAACTTACACATGCTCTATAATGTTTCCTAGCATCAGTGTTCGAACTCAACGGTAGACCCAAGTACAATGAAAAGGTATATATATACTTTAATAGGTCTATGTGAATAACCTAGACAAATTTGTGTTTTACATCGTTCCCTGTACAGTACATTTTATGTGTTTGAATCACTGATAGTGATAAAGTTGTAATGAAGAAAAATCATTCTGTACAATCACGTTTTCCTTGATTATAACACAAAGTATCTTTTTAATTTCAAGATATTTTATATCTTAACATAAAAAAGTCTTGGTTAACTTCTATGAAAATGTCAGTAGGTCCGTAAAAACCTTATACAACATAAGATCTAGCTCCAGTGTCTATGGGGTGTACAAGGATGGGGTTCTCCAGAATAGGAACTCTTGAAAATAAGTTGAAGAATATAGCAAGAAAATGTAGTATTATCTACATATTTGTAGTATTTATGCTGTAAATTGTTGAAATTGTTAAAACCTAGTCTAAGTGAGATCATTGATATATTTTTAAACCGTAAAACTGTTTCCTTGATATTTGAATGTGTTTAGTCTGTTTCAAATTATTAACAAGGGTGTTATATACAGGACAATATTTATAAGCAGTGCTTTTTATTATTTATCACTAATTAAAATAGTTCTCATAGCTAACTTAAATGTTTTTAGACAATTTATATATTTTTATTGTCCATATATTAGGGTAAGACTCGCTATTTAGCATTTACTTTGGATTCAAAAAGATAAATAGAACGTTAACTAATGCTTATAATTTAAACATTACACAATTACCTACAGGTATCAACAGTTGTTTTGGTTTGATGACCGATTTTACTTGCTCTACAGAGGCGTCCTGCTGGGTGTCTTCGGCAGTATGTCTCAGTGAGGTAGCACTATAAAGTCGGCATCAGTTCCGCGCTATCACAAGGAGACAAACACGAACATATCGCAGCCTCCCAAAATACACACACATACACTACACGCATGCATCTTGCACACAGGGGAGGCCGTCCTTAAATGACCTTAGCTGTTAATAGGACGTTAAACAAAATCAAACAAACAAACAAACAAACCTTACAACAGCAAACCCACACTGTATGTGAGTCGCCCTTCACTTTCTGTGACTCCACGGTGTACATTTGGCTGACAAAATACAGCCGATGCAGTTGATATTGAATGGTAGTAACTTCCTGAAGGTTACCAGAAAGAAAGTACTATTTCCTTTCCGATTTTGTAATCATTAAGAATAGAGCAGTCCACGATTGTCTGTTTACAAGTAAATTAATGATGTCGGTTATATAACAGGTCCCAGTTTCTCCTCGACCCACCCAGTGTGTAATAACAATGGGTCCGGTATGTCCATCGTCTTCCTGATTTTGTTTTTTAAATACATGCACCAGTTTGGACAAGTGGTAGCTTCATCGTAAATGCAGCGAAACATAGGCTTAATGCTGACAGCCCTTTCTTACGAAGACTGATATACTTTTCGTGTGTGATTTCTCGTCTTTTCGGGGCGAAAATACGAACGAACGAGATTTAAGGATAACTTCTAAATGTCGTTTTTTCGGGGCGAAAGGATGAAACAACGAAATGGCACAAATCAGCCACCGTACTTTCTTGCTTCCGTCTTTTTTGACAAACCGCGCTTGGTAAAAAATTACGTAAATCGGGAAGTGTTTCCATGTTTTATAATTATCTAAAGATAGATTCTGATCACCAGGATCCGTTGTCTATAAAGTTCATATAACGTATAAATCTAAATCTAAATCATGTCTCATGTCTCATGTCGAACTGTCAAATTTGTTTACATCGAGATATTTTTTCCCTATGACCTCTGACCCGTGCCGCCATCTTGGAGGGGTTGATACGTCTATAATCTGTTACAAGAGGCAAATAACGAACGTCTGTCTATTCTATTTTCATGTTAAGAGAAATGTCAATGAACCGTATATCAGGTTGATATGGATATTACCTTTCACAATGTTTTGATCTCTCCACTGAGGGATGTTGATGATGCGTGCAGTTTTCACCTCATATACTCCTAGTTACATGGCAACGCTTGTTTGTGACGTAGGTGTTCTGTGACGTAACAATCTATGGAGGAGGACGGGGTAAACTAAAACACGGATTGATGCAAGTCACACGTTGCACGATACGGAACCAAGTGATACCAAAAAACTTGGATGGAGAACTCTTTTATAATTATAGGGCAAGTGTAATCAACAATGAACTTTAACTTTATGTTATACAATTGTTTATTTTTTTTAGTTCAGTGACGTGAGAGGAGCTCTATCGGCTCCTGTATTAGAAACTAGCTTTAACTTCAACTTTAACTTTTATACCCCATCTTAAAGTTTAGGTATGAACAATTCGACCTGTTTGAGTTGAGATTTTGCTTTAAAAAAAACAAAGAAAAAATAGGTATTTCACAATGATATATAACAGACTATGAGATATATCGTCTGTTGATACGTAACAATACACACAATCAATTCAACGTTTTATTAACGGTAACCCATAGTAACATTACAACCAGTAACAAAACTGTTTTCTACTGTAAACGCTATAACTGAACACTCGAACTCTATACAATTAAACCACACCTAAACTCTAAGGGTTTATCCATGACGTCAAGGAGGGATAAAGGTCCCTCTCAATTCAACCTGTTCACGACAGATAAACGATTTTCATTGTCTTTTCCGGTGAGATTATTCTGATTTTATTGTGAGTTTCTACTCAGAAAGGAAACATGAAATACCTAACGGACGATTGGAAATATAACTGGTCATTTATCCAAATTGTGTTGCGCTACAGTTCTGTATATAAAACGAAAATAAGGGAAGTTACTACTGTTCCTACTAGAAACTACACACAGTAAAGAAATCTCCTTTATAACCTTTTGCCTGCAGATGGACAGAATTTACAAATCCTATTTCTGTCGGATCCGTTTGTTAATGCCTAGGATGTTAGATTGGAAAAGAAAATCATGTTATATGTTGTTTTACTGAAAATAACGATTTTATTTTCAAAATATAAACTTTAAAAAATATATACATCTTGCATCTAAATTATAAGAAACAATGGAAACATATACACAAATCACGAGATCAGTTAAATGTGTACGTCACTATTTCACGTCGAATGTAAATTAAGGATGTTTATATTTACTTACGATAGCACTCAGCGACTTTTCAACATCCATTCCATAGAGGCCTGTGCCCGTGACTTTGTTAAAATATCACACACACAAAACATGTCTCTAGGAAAATAAAGTAACCTTTGTATTGATTTTGGGAAAATACAGCAGAAGTCCACAAATTAAGTTGTACTAATTGAACATCGAAGCAAACTGACCGACGATAAAACTTTACCTAATCTCCCGTTACGCGGTAAATAATCTCTCTAACAATGGGTATGACCTCTTAGGCCTATGCCAATACTAGTATCTAGTCAGTGTACAGAATATGCATACTTGGGACGATAACATGGTAACTGCCTTCAATATAGCACTGATATATATATATATATATGTAACGGAACATTTGATATAGAAGTTACTGTAGATTACATTGTACTTCTATTTCGCACTTACTTATTTTCGCGTATAATTTCGCGAACTCGTCTTTCCGTACCAATTCGCGTTTTACTCTGTCTGTATATCTTACATTATACATGTAAGTAAATAATGATTAATAAAATATGTTCACGTGATACTTGAATCCAAAATATAAGCTGAAATAGCCTGAGTAATAACTACTGATCATCTAAGCTACCATCATTAACTAGTAACTGGCCTGTGCTGAACAAATGTACTGTACATAGATAGCTGATGGCTTTTTGATTGGATAAATGTCCATGGTTGTCAGTTACAGTTACATAATGTGAGTTGTAATTATTCTCAATGTATTTGAAAAACATATGTGTTTTACAAATGTTTTATCTGGGTTTTTTCTCTGTGCTCGAGCAGTCAATGAAAGGAAGGGAGTTAACTCTGACAGATATAACTGGCCATTTGAGCCTGAATTTATATATCCAAACGATTTGCATAAATCCTTGTGTAATAACGTGGTAGTAAACATGTCACATAATTCACCACGAGTTATTGTAAAATTGATCCTTTCCTAAGCTTTTTTAATCAAGTATAAAACTTTAAGAAAAAACAACACTTTACCAACTCGTTAAAGAGAAAATAATCACATACATAGACTAAAATTCAAACTGTTTTTCACTGGGTGGGGGATGGAGGTAGGGGATGGGGACTGTTTGTGTATCAACTCGGCATGTTTAAAGCATACAAGTGGCATAGTAACTGCATGATTTAAAACGCCCCATGTCCCATTCATATAACACGTTCTTAACCCACAAAAATAACAGTTATAAAAGAACTTCGTTTTACCGTGACCAAAACACAAACATAATCGAGATGGACGGGTAGCTAGAGATTCCAGACCTGAACAACATATATAAACCTCTACAGAAATGACTCTAAGTCGACGAACAATGTTTACATCATCAACTAATCATCAACTTTCGACAAGAAAAATGCAAAGGGGATTGAATATTTCACAGATGCAAGAAGAATTTTTTTTTGAACGAATCCGGTTGCTAAATCGTATACCTATATGACGAGTATCAGTCCTCCAGTGTGTGCACGAATTGTCGGGGTAACTAGATAAGAAATTAAGGTATCTCATTATCCGTAACTAAACATATAATGCACACAGGCAGCCACAGGTGAAGCCCAGAGTTACAAGGTCTGGGTTTGCTTCCTTCATGAAAAGACTCGGTTTTAATGTCACTTCAGATTACATTCTTGGGATTATTTATGGCAGTAGCCCGAGCATCATGGCGGGGGTTGCTTACAGAGACAGTACAGCCGGAGAGCATCTTCCTTTACACAATGTGACTGTTTGCCGTACTTGTTAGTTCTGCTCACTTCTCCTAATAAACGGAACCGTTTATGATTGTCGACTAGAACTGTTGCCTCTAAAAGGGCGTTTCCGGGAATTGTTTCTATAAGCACTAAATATCTTTCCTCCTTTTGTTTTTCAGGCTCCTCAAAGAACTGTCGAAATGAGAAAAATTCAACATCGCCATTGGCTTTCAGGCCAAGTTCAATTTTTTCGGCATGTTTTATTTGTTTTAATGACAATTTCTCACACAAATCATTATGTACACCCAGAAGAAGGTTGATTTCATCAACAACAAATGTAGCTATCCTGTTGATAACTGGTAAAGTAACCGATATTTCTTCAGATCCATAGCAGGCGCAATAGTGTTCCGGAACCCCAGCCTGTGCGCAGGACCGGGATTCCGGGATCGGTGAAAAAAGACTGATACCTCTTGCTAATGCCGGTTTCTCAGAACTTGAGTCGAATTTGGAATTCATAATATCGAGTAATGTTTCATGGAAATCAAAATGAGTCGTTAAACGTTGTGTATTGTCTTCCATGTTTTGTACTAATGACGGGTATCTGTCTCGGAGTTTACGTGGTACCGCAATCTGCAGGAGTGGCATTCTCTCCTCTATACGACCTACGTAAGTGTTACGAATGGAATCTATCCTTGATCCGTGATCGCTTAGAAATACAACGAAAGAATTATCAAAATGTCCGTTCTCGTTTATCCACTGAAAAAAAGTTTTAAAATCGTCATCCCCCAGTTCTAGAAAATTGACATAATCGTGACTAATTTCATTAAGCCAGGTAAAACTGAACCGCAACTTGTGGCTGTAACGTTTGATGAATTCTTTAGCGTGATTCAGAGATAGGACATGTTTTGGCGTGTTTCCATAGCACAAAGTTGAAGTTTTTTTCAGACCCATTTTCTGATCTTCGAAACCCATTAAAGCGGAGTTGATGAGAGTGCCCAGTAGGTCAATCTTTTTTATTCCCCGCCAGTACGGCCGCATGTAGTGGTCAGTTGGTTGTCTGTCGAACCCTGCTTTGCCCAAGTTAAACATATTGATGTCTGCATAATCCTCTGAGTACAGAGTGGCATAGCCAGCCGCCGCCAGAGCGTACCACACGAATGGGTAGCTGTCAAATTTGACGGAAGTGACGTCTTTAGACGGCAGCTCGTTCGAGTAAGCCTTTTTCCCAGTTAACATCGGTACAACATTAGGAAATGTGTTGTCAGCCACCTTCATGTGACCTTTGAACTCAAATGCTTTCATCTCATCCCGGAGATAGGCGAATGTTTTTGGTAATTTCCTTATAGCTGCTAATCTGGAAACGGCATCGACACCAAGAATTAATATGCTGAATTTATCATCACTTTCCGACTGTATTTTCCGAGTTTCTTTCACAGTCTTTGAATCTATTTGATAATGCATAACATCGTAAACGTTCCTAGAACTAGAATCTTTACATTTTACGCGGAAATAATCGCCGGTCACCCTTGTGGGCTCTTTAAGCTTCACTTCCGGTCCAAAGTCCACATAGTCGTCGTTACCTTTTTGTCTACTAACCACGCTATATACGCACGTGACTCCCACTAGGTGCTGCTGTCGGACGGCCGACTCGTTGTACTGAAGAAAGCCATCATCATTCACAAACACGAGCGTTGGGTTGTCATCACATTTGATCTTATTCGGATGCCACTCAAATTTCTTGATAGATTCGTCAAAAGGATTAAGATTGGGTATGATGCACTTTCCGTAAACATTTTCATTTGTGAAGGTAAATCTCGGCGTAAGTGTATATTTTGACATCATATACATAACAAAAAGAGTAGAGACTGCTAGTAGAATTAACTTCCGGTTCTGTTTTTGTGACTTCCGGTTTCCAGTAATTATCGACCTCATACTGTCGCAGATAAATACCCATATAATGTAGCAGGTTTGGAGGATGATGTATGGGATTTCGAGGAAGATGTACCCGTTGGAGGAAGAGTGCGTCATTGGGACAAGAGCTGGTCTGTGTTAACCCCTGAAAAAGAATTAACGAAATAAATTAAAATGAACAATTTAGCAGGAAAATCAAAACTTATTTTTGCCATAATATAATATTGAAGTGTGTTAAAGCTCCCCGAGCTTTGACTGCAGACCGAGCACCACGAGGCCAGTTCATCCTCAACATGTTACAGGCTTGTAATATAGAAGGGTTAAAATCGTGATTTACATAGCAATGCATTATCATGACGTCATTGAAGTTGATTCATAATATTACATATCGGTCAAGAGGGTAAGTGGGTGTAATTTTAAGCACAAGCTCCTGCCATTGAATTCTGATGGGACCCTTTTTTCTGGAAATGCTGAAATTGAACATGGCAGCCTTTTTTCATTATTAATTATTTTTATTTTGGTGTGACCCATCGTTCTTAACAATGTTATTGAAAAAGACTCATTAAATGACCTGTCGATTAATCACTGCCAATTTTAATGGGCAATATTATTTTCTCATTTTTGAAACCAGCAGAAATTATAAATAGATTATTGATTAATTGAATAAATTATTTTAAGCATATATAGTCCCTTCTTGGTGACGTATGACTTTTAATATTGAATCTTAATATTCGTGTTATATGTCCGGAGTCCGTTTTATTTTTATTTTACTCCTATCTGTCAACAACATGGTGGACGAGCAAAGTTGTAAAAGGCAAAAAACTCAAAAGTCAACATAATACCTACTTTAAACCGAAAACTAGTATCAATGTGTGTATTATGAAAGAGAGAAGGTAAAACAGGAATACATGTGTATAAAAGTATAAAAGTATAAAAGTAGACAACTTTTGTATTTCTACAGATTCGGGGGGG